CTTTCGGGAAAAAGGAGGAAACGCTATGCTTCTATAGTCTAGATGATGTACAATAAAGCTATTAAAAATTAAGCGGAATGTTCTATCGTCAGACTGGCCAAAAATGAGCTGTCAAGTTACTAGTGCAACGTTTGTTCTACAGGCATTTTTCACAGAATAAGACTTTGAAAAATAAGATATGAATAAAACTAAATTTTTCCGAACCCACAACGCCTCTAGAAGGGAATCTCTTAAGTTGTACATGTAGTTTATAACATGTCTCAGAAGAACTAATTTACGCTGTGAGGTATTGAAAGTCCGTTGTTATCCTCCTGACTTTGGAGTTGATTCGAGTCATCCTAGTTGCAAACGTCTGTCGAAGATTGATAAACTCTTGAGTTGCATCAAGCAGGAAAGTTTGTGCATTCTCTGTGGCTGCGAAGTAGGACATTCTGTGATATTCCCAGGCTCCTTATCCGTGATATGAGATGCTTATAGTGTAGATATTTCTATCGTATTGGTATTATTTGCATTAATTATTTAAAGCAACTCGTCTGTATTGTCCAGCAAACTTTCTGCCTTCATTTATAAGCTTCTGATGCTTTCAACTTGAAAAGCAGCCTCCATATGAGAAGACGAGTAAGTTATTTTCACAAGCCATTGTCAAGTATCTCTGCCTTTCATGGACGACTCAACCACTTTTTGGGTCTAGACATACTTAAGCATCAAGATTTGTGTCATGAATTTCCACCCCTGAATATCGTAGACTAAATTGTCAGAATCTCTGTTGCCTAAAATACTATCCAGAATGAACGTTTCAAGAGATTCGTTTGGCATGTTCCAGGTTATATAGCGTCATAATATGATATATTTAGTAGTATTCTCACATCATCATATTTCATCAAATGACTGGTCAACAGAACACTACCCAAGTCGGAGGAGTCAGTGAACGTTAAGCTAAGGAGTCTTGGAAGCTTTGTGTGTCTAGGATCCTTCTACTGGTAAGTCATATGACCTTTAACGGATTGATTTTACGAGTTTTAAGCTTGGTTAAACCTGTTGGTTTTATTTTGAGGTGAAGGGAAAGTTGGTGCAGTCTTTTAGGTTCATGAATGCAAAATTAGTAAAACATCGACATCATGGCATCGCAACACATTTTGCTTCACTTTCTTATTTCGATGTTGTGGATTGTCAAATGTCTTACTTAATTTCAAATAGATTTGAAAAGCCAATTTTTGATTCCAAGACTTTGTGCAAAGGAGATATTCTTGTGAGGGTACGTGACATCTCGACGTCCTCAGAAATTTGTTAAACAGGTGCTGCCAGAATAGTTTTTACACAAAAACATCACCGTATAGAATTGAATGACATCCATCAATACCCTAATAGTAAACTAATGATTTAGCTTTAGACAGGGAAACCTGAATAAATCATTTGTGGTCACTAAAATGGTCTTATATGCGCAACAAACAACGAAGCCATGATAGGTTTACATGTTTTGTACTCGTTTTTGCGATTTCAGGTGTTTTTGACCATTTTGCCTACTTTTATGCTAAAAATGGATTAATAAGGAAGATAATTAGCTTCTTTTAGGGTTTTGATCTTTATACACCTGCTTCCGATGATAATAACTACTACTGAGTTGTGAATATTACCTTCCCTGGTTCGAAATATACGTGACTACATCATGATATTGATCTGACTAATGACCTTTCTACTTTCCAACAGTTAATACGTATAACACTGTCTGTAATTTTGCGACATGCTTATTTGGCGTATCTGGATTATGTCATTGTACATGGAGCAATTGTTGAAAACTACTTAGAAATTAGCAAACTGTTTTAGAGCGCTTTCAGGAAGTTGGTTTGAAAGTACGGCCTTAGGAATGTTTTCTGTTGAGGAAGGAAGTTAAATTCCTAGAACGTGTCACTGACGACCGAGGAATGCACACCGATATCATTCGAAATGGGGTTGTTCCATAAAATACAACTGAACTCCTAATACTCATAGATTTAGAAACTCATTATAAAAGGTTTGTACAAATATTTTAGAAGATTGCAGCTCCCTCCTTGCCTAGATCGAAAAGGAACGAAGTGAAAAGTGCCACCAACCTTTTGATCTGTTAACGGACTTGTTGTGTTTAATGCTGGTTTCAGAACATACGGATTTTCTTCTCATTGCTTGCAGTTTCATTTTACACACCGATGTAAGTGACTAGGCTATCGATGTAAAATACAAACTGAGGTTTGATCTGAAGCATATGAGTCGAGATGAGTTAGATATGCGCCCTTGCCCGTCAAAATCAAAACAAGTAATCGGGTAAATGACGGTTTTATAATTCATAATAAATTTAAATGTACATTGTTACCTAAACATATATGACTAACCAGCTACTCAACCTATAATTGTTCAGTTAATCAATTCTAAATTACAATAAATAAGGAATTTGATAAAGGATGCGAAAAAATTACCAATCGCGACAAATAATTGCTATTCTATCCTGTCTGGATGAACCACGCACAGATTCGTTCCAGAGATAATATTTGGTATCCAATTCTGGAAGAGTGCTTCAATTCCCAATCAAAAGTGCACAATTCCAGTTAATGTAAGCAACACAATCAAAGAAGAAACAAAATCAATATGGCTGCCGCCAAGACTAAGTATCAACTAAAACAACATAAATGCAGTTCGGGAAGAAACACGGAAGCTTAGTGAAGGCGTAAGAAAAACGAATATTAACAACTCAAATGGAATCAGAAGACTAACAAAATATACAACTGAAGGAATCAATAGGAACAAAGTGCAAGTGTATACATGGAGGGATTTCCATACAAAAAACATTCAAAATGGATCTTACAATCGGTGCTGTATTGCTAAACTTTTCTTCAGACGGAAAATGAGTTGTTGTGTCTGGAAGCCGAATGTTAAATAAGTTGGAGTAAATCATTGTACAAGACGATAAAAGATGCTAGTACACGTTCACTCTCAGTATTATTTACTAGGACGTTAGTTTGTTATTAGAACTGATCATAAGGCTTTTATATGATTACATAATTTCAGAGATCTGGACGGGCAATCGCTCTATGATGAGAGTGCCTACAAGGATATAACTACGAATTCATCCATCAGTTCGGTAGACGGCATCAGAATTTGGCGACTTATCCCGCAGAGCAAATTAAACACGTGGAAAATGTTTTGCGTGTGTCTCACCAGCAAGAAATATAATAGTGTTGAAAATCACGGGAAATACTGAACGGGCATGTATTTAGCTAATAGATCCGGAAACTTTAATACCTGCTGAAAACTAGCGTTCATGGCTATCTTCGGAAGAAATTAAAGTCATGAGTTTGGAGGTTATCTGTGTATGATTCATGTGGAAATTCGTAGTAATAATGGGTGAAGTATTATGTTTTCGTTACAGACCCTAATGTTCGGGATAACCGGCAGTTTCATAGCCTATGTTCTATGATGTCTTGGAAAAATCATATGTGGTTCCGGGCCATGGAGGGCAAAATAAAATTATGCGGGCCGTCAAACATAGACGCTGATAGCGAGAACAAAGGGGAGGCGTACGAAACTGTGTTACATCTTTTAAGATATGTCAAATTACAAAGATGATTCGCGTGCATCCTTCGTAAATGTGAAAGCAAGTCAGTCTAATGAGATAGTGTGAATTGATATTAGTGGGTCATCAGAAAAATCAACCTAGGGAATGAATATATTTTAGTTATGGTTGATCACATCACGAAGTGATGAGGTATGATCCCTCTAGAAATTTTGGACGCTCAAACTGTAGTTGAAGCGGCATTTGGGTCTCTCGTTGGCATGTATCGGTTCAGTTAAATTTGGATAGGTTTATCGAATTTCAAGACACGCTTTTCAAGATTTATGTCAAGTGCCTACATTGACTTCAGAAAAGCCTTTGAAAGAGTTCCTCACAACCAATTGTTATATAAATCAAGAAATGTTGGGGTTGGAGGCAGTTTATTAATGTGGATAAAATACTTTCTAGTTGGCTGCCAACAAAGAGTAAGGGTTGTCTAGCTGGGAAACTGTGCTTAGTGGAGTGATACAGGGTACAGTTTTGGGGCCAGTGCTATTCCTCCTGTATGTAAACGACCTTCCTCGTCTCCTATCATCATCGGTCTTGCTATATGCTGACGATGTCAAGATATGGAGAGCGATACGATGTAAGAGTGATAGCTTAGAACTTCAAAATGACCTGAAGAAGTTATCTGAATGGTCTCGAACATGGCAGTTACCGATAAATACTTCCAAGTGTGTTGTGATGCATATCGGTCATCAAGGTACAGATACATGCATGATGAATAACACTGAGCTACCTGTCGTCCAGACATATGATGACTTAGGAGTTATCGTTAGCCAAGACCTAAAGGCTACTGCACACTGCCGTGCAATAGCCGCCAAAGGTTTTAGAACCTTATGGTCAATACGTAGGGCTTTTATTCATATCGACGCCAAAACGTTTTTGACTTTGTATACAGTATTCGTACGTCCTAAACTTCAGTACTGCATACAAGCGGCTAGCCCCTGCTTAAAAAAGACAGTGAGCTTCTGCAAAAGGTTCAGAGAACGGCAACTAAGCTGATTCCCGGAATAGCGAAACTTCCGTATGAAGCTCAACTGGCCAAGCTGAACCGTTGTCATATCGCAGAATCAGAGGCTACTTGATTACAGTCTCCAAATTGCTTAGTGATAAATTTGCGCATATTCCCTCATTTTTCTTGTCTTCCAAAACAGAGAATTAACGAGGACACTCCATAAAAGTTCACAAGCTCAGGACAAATTACTTGTCAGCTGACTATCGACTTTCCCATTTAATCATCGAGTGGAATTCATTACCTCAGCAATTGGTTGAGTCCCCATCCGTCGACTCTTTCAAAAGAAAGTTGAATCAACTGAGAGACGACCATTGTCGGGACTAACACAGGTCATCAAGCCTCTTATTCTTCCCAAACTGAAACTGAAGCTGAGAATAACTGTTGACAAAAACACTGGACATTGAAGCTAGGCTCACTGTTTGAAGGTGGTTGAGACGTCAGTTTTACTCTTGATATGCAGTCAAATATCGAGCGTTCTGAAACTGGAGGGCGAGTGAGCTATACCAGAGCTGAAATTTTAGCTCTTTATGACTGCGGGAAGTCTATTCCTCTACAAGATGATGTGATTAAAAAATCTCAAGTAAGTTGCTGATCAGTTTTCAATCAACTTATTCTTGTCCCATTTTTACCTGTCGTACCGTTTCCAGTGCGTTAGTATATTAGTTGGGATTTGGAACAATGATGTCAGTAATCTGTTAATTGACATCATAAATAAAGTCATTACCTAATTATTCACCCTATTCATTTGATATCCAATCCCCCTATTTTTGGGGAAATTTTGTCCGTTTTGGGTCAATTTTTGGAAGCCGCAATAAATGATTTTGGGAAAATGGTACAAAACCTCCCAAATTTACCCATGTCCGGGGAAAATCTCCAAAATGTTTGGGGAAATTTAGGGCTTTTCCCAATATTTCCACAGAATTTTATAACTCTGGAGTTTTTCTCCAAAGTTTGGGAAAAACCCCGAAATTCCCAAAATAGGGAGATTGGGTATGATCGTGGTATCTACTTACTTGTATGTTCCGGAGTTACAGTAGTATCCATTTCATTCACTAAAAGCTTATTTTCAGTTATCTCCCCCAAGGTCTTCATTTTATGTAGATTTTGTCCTTCAGATTTCTGTGCAGCTCATTTTTTGACTAATTCGGATTATTACAAAAGCGGGAGTTAGTTTGCTACATAAACACGAAAAGATGTTTTCATATGACGTGTTGATTGATTTTCGTTTGCTTGATTGGATTTCAACTAGATAAAAAGTGGCTTTGAATGAGACCCCTTAGTGGTCCTACTGTAGATTCTCTAACATAATCTCTATAAAAGGTACAGACTAACGAAGGTCATCTTTGTCGTTTTTTTAATGAGGTTGTACTTTTTAGGGTGTACTGTTGTTAATTAATTGCTTGTTTTTACGACCCTTCACTACTTTTTATGACATTATTCCGGTTTCTGTGACTCCGTCTTTTGCTGTATTATGCTAATATCATATTGTATTATAAATAATAAAAAAAACACTTTTTTATTAATAACTAATTCCTCATTTTTCATGCGTAACGAATACTGGTAACTAAAACTACCTAATATTGTGTATCATCTTTCATAGACTGGGACCCGTGGTATGTCAACTTCACAAATAATTATTTGGTTTTAAATTTAGCATCTCGATCTAAACCCCAAAGAAAAAAGACTAGTTATTCACAGTCAAGCGATGGAGACGCCCAAAAGTATGTGAATGTTCATATCTGTTTTTCAGTTCGTATTTTTAGTGTTACCATTTTTTCATACTACCGCTGTCACCCGGTGCACAGTTTATTGGAATACGAATGTAGTTTTCTTATTTTAGAAAGTATACTGATAAATAATATCTTCGTCCATATATGTGAACTAGAATAGTCAATACGATTATTAGGATAACGTGAAACTAATTCTTCTGTTAGTGTTGAAGACTTCCAACTACTGAACCATGGTGAACATACATTGTGTAAACAGTTAGACTTCGAGTTACCATTGTATCACACTAGAAGGTTGGTGTTTTCCATACAATTTGGGAACTCCTTGTTGCAATTTGAGAAAATTATATTGATAAAGCTTCTATTATTACACTGTTTTATCGAGTTTTGGATTAATATAATTAAAGTAAACTAAATTAACCCATTCACCAAGTACTTGGGTATGAGTCGCGCTCTAAGTATGAGGGCTAATGTTACTACTCAGTTGCCCAAACCGAAGCTAATGGAGCGGAATTCGAACTTGAGACTTAGTGACCGAGAGTGGAATGTCTTAATCACCATACCACTGCTCGTACTAACATCAGAAGTAATAACTAAACGGTTTCTACGTTCTGTCTACTACTAACTCTGTCTTCAGTGTTGCCCGAGTTATAAGGTTAGCACCACGTTAATAAAAATGCACTTTGAGAATCCAGACAGTAAATAAAATTATTGTTGATAGTTTTATCAACATTTACAAGTTTCGGAAGTTGAGTGTGTAAAGTCTTTATGTTAATGGTTCTGAGTTTTGCAATGTTTCCTACTTTTTAAACCTTACTCTTGAGACTGAATATTCACAAAGCAACAGAATATATTTTCTAGGGCCAAATCTTCTCTGTGATTAAGAGGTGATGTATGGTGGGCCAGTTGACTCATCCGTCAGATTACATTTGTATTGACCAAACTCCTGGTTTCCTTGGTCAAGCTGTAGGATTGAAGAACGTATGAGATGCATAATGAACTGTGTTTCACTCTTAAGGTGTCTCCATTCCTACTTATTCAAGTCTTTATTATCACAAAGTCATGGAACAGTATTAAAAATAGTGGTTGTATGTGGGGACCACTTTACCTCTGAGACATGGTATAGTCAGCAATAAAACTTCTTTGAACTGAAAACTGGTGTCATTCATACTGCTCTCCACCCACCCGACCGTCGTTGCTACTTTGACGTGGTGGTCGGGCTTCCTTATCTTGGTGAACCAATCGAGCTATACTGGCTGGAACAATCGTTCTTCAAGGTCCTACCATGCCAGACAGGTTGGTTGAAGAGCGGTAAGACAAAGCAGCAAACCCGAGGTCTGAGAGTGAAGTCGTACTGCTGACTGTACAGAGGTGTGATGGCAGTAAGGTGTTTTCAGAAAACCAGCATGACAGCGATGCTGCCTTCCTACAAGGAGGGGTGGGATTAGAAAAGGTTGACCCTAAAAATGCACACCTCACCCTATCCCATGGATATCCGTCTACGGCGGCAAGGTCTCAACAAGTACGGACCTAACACGAAAATTACTCTCAACAAGGTTGTGTGTGACCGAGCTCAAGCAGTTGTCCGTTGGGCACTGCGGTCACACTCTCAGGTCACTAAGACCACCTTTAATCCAATTTTTTCAGGCACCTCCAGAAGAACCCTTCCACGGTGTGAGCAACCGAGAAGTGATAACCTTCCTCATGCCTCTAACAGCACTCAAGATCACTGTATCCATAATCAACCTCCCTCTTCTCCACCCAGCACATCTGGCTCTGTGGAAGCTCGAGGATAAAGTGTTACAAGTAGACTGTTGTTGATGGTATCCAGTCAACGGACATTGAGTATCTTGCGTAAACAATTGTTTATAAATACTTTTACTTCATGATGGTTGCGGTAGTTCTCCAATAGAACTGTCTTGACGTTTGTATTGAAGATTCTGACTTTGGTGTTGACTGATAGTTATTTTGAGTTGCATATGTTCTCCAACTGCAGAAATGCTACCCTTACTTTGTCAATCCTTGCCTTTATGTATGCATCACATCCTCCTTGTTCATCGATGATGATGCTCAGATATGCGAGAGTTTCCACCTGTTCCACAGCTTCTCCATGAAGTGAGGTTGAGTCGGTGTTCTCTATGTTGTATTTGAGGATATTGGTCTTTCACTATATATATTTTAGCCTACTTCTGCAGAGGCTGCTGCTGCTACACTGACTATTTTCACTTAGATTTGTTGATGTGTAGGGGATAGGAGAGCTAGGTGATCAGCCAATTCCGAATCGTCTAGTTGCATATAATCTGTGTATTGTATTCCGTGCTTCCCATGAGATGTGGAGGTTTTCATGATCCAGTAGACCGCCACCAGGAGAAAAAGGGACGGTGAGAGTAAGCAACCTTGTCTGACACCGGTCGTCACTTGGAATGCATCTGTGAGCTGTCCTCCATACACGACTTTTCAGAGTAGTCCGTCATAATAATTGATGAGTCAATTAAAGCTTATCCACATGTGTTGATAATCTTCTCAGGTACTCCATAGTATTGAAGATGGTTCCACAAGGTTCTGTTATCAGCAGTGTTAGGTGCTTTCTCATAATCAAGGAAGTTGATGAATAGTGCCGAGTTCCATTCAAATGACTGTTGAACAGCGATCCGTATTGTGGTGATTTGGTCGGTCATTTGCAGTTGTTTCTGATTGCGATTTATCCTTTTGATGTCTGCTTCCAATTTCCGATGCTGTGTTCCTTGGTTTTCCTCTTTCCATTTTGTCTTCATGATCGCTTATCTTGAAGCTTTATACACTGTCACTGCTAGATCTTTTACGTATTTTTGCTTGATTATCACAATGAGCTGATCAATACAATGAAAATACACTAGAATCATATAACTAACTTCATATTGGAAGAATTAATACAACTGAAAATTCATTAAAAGTTAACTGAACAAAAATCATGTTGAATCGATATGCCAGTTTTAAGACTGATTTTCTTCCTCATGCATCGTATCTGGGTTTAAAGCATCTGAAACATGTAGCAATATAAAAGTGTTAAAGTAAATTCTTCTAACTCCAAATACAAAATGCTGTCTGACAACTTTGTGTGTAATCAGATTAATATCAAGCATCGATGTTCGATACACAAACGATTTTACTTACGAGTTCCTATCTCTTTTTTGTATTATTACTAGTCATGGATTACCACTGATTTATTGTACACCAATCAGCATTCTTTTTAGACAATTCATACATAACAGTTCAAGAGAAATGATTTATAAGATTCTTCAATAGAATAAAATATTCCGACTCTAACCATGTGCAACCTAATGTATTTGAATTTCAGGTATTGTGCCTAAACGGATGTAAGTAGAATGGCGTCCAAACCCACAACCTATTTGTATAATAAAGTGATTTACTTAACCAACCACAAAATCCACTCCATTATTGAGATATTTATCAACCTACCAGGGAAGAACTACACACTGCTTTCTTATGGCATTACTGTTTTTTACGGAATTGAGAGGATGAAAGTCGAATGTCCAGCGCTTTAACCGGGTTTGTGGATATAGAGGATCCACATAGGAGAGTTGAACAACCCTCATTCCAAACCAATGATGCATATGGAATTCAGGATCGTGAGGAAACAAATGCCGTATGAACCAATTATTGGCCACTGGCTACCATGTGATTACATCTTACGTTGCTCCACTGCCTTGTGGATCAGACCTTTAGGTCGAAGGCCCCGGGTGTGTCTCCCTAGGAAAACCACCTGCTTCGGTCTAGGCAGTATCCCAGCTTTCATATAAATCGAATGATTTATGTGGTGCATGCCTATATGGTGCCTCTTTGTACCAATATTTATGTGTTCAAATAAATAATGTATCTAAAAATTGCGGGCCATTTACTGTTTTATTATTATTCCCACCTATTCGTATTAATTGGTTCATCTAATGTTTCTTTGTTTCCCTTAGCAGTGTTCCTCGTACTAACTTCGAAATACCTGTTTCAGTTCATTCTCCTGCTAGTTACTTAATCAGTCATTCTTTTTCCTCAAAAAGTACTTTATTAAATACATTCAGCTGTTGAGATGATGGTTTGCTAATGATTAGTAGTCACCTGTATCATATTTCTATGTTAATTCTCATACTACTTTTGTGTTATAGAACTCATGGTAGTAGTGGTGAGGATCTAACTACTCAGGAAGTTGATCCTAATACCCATGGCTGGCATCGTATGAACCGTTACGCCGGGCATGCACAATCGGGTAGTTCTTCACACCATCCTCATCAGAGATATCCAAGTGGACCAACTGGGGACGTCGATCCTTCAATTCCCGTTTCCCAAGCAAATGGTCCCTTGCGTCCCACTAATGAAACAAAAAGAGGAGGGCATGGTGATTGGTCCCGAGGATGTGCTGGTTGGCGTCAACGTTCTTACAGTGGTAGTGAGCAATCTGATGTCTTCTATGTAAGTTCTACTCGTTCTCTACGTTAAATGTGTTCCCTTGATTTGGTCAACTATTTAAGCTGACTTGTAAAATTGTTCTCCTAATTTTGAGTTATTCACTGAGTCCTGAACCGTCGTGATCTACAATTCATTTGTGATCAAATATAACGCAGTGAAAATGTATTACAGAGATAAGGTTGTTGGTATCTTGATTGTGTACCTCAAAGTGAACATCTGCAAAGTCTGAGTCATCGAGCTACGTCCAAATTCAACACTGTATACCGTGCCTGAGATGAGGATGTCTCTATAATTGCTATGGATACAGATACTCGAAGACAACTGCGATACCATATACAATAGTTCAACTCGTTTCTAGCCTTCCAGCCACTCAAAAAGACAAATCTTGGTAAGAATATTGATTGGGGAAAAAACCAAAGATTAAGACGTATATCTAAGTTAATTCAATTATTATTAACTGCAGAGCTTCATCAACCGAATAACTATCACTGAGCATATAATCAGTACAAGGACAATAAATTTAGAGTCAAATAACTAATTACGACTGAAATGCACTGAATAGGTTTAACTGGAACAACCTCAAATCGATATGTAAATTAAGGATTGTTTTTTTCATCATACGATATCTGGATAAATGATATCCTTAACAGTAATCCACTCAACAACTAGCAAAAACAGAAAAAAATGAGACTAAGCAGCCTTTTTTGATAGCAATCATAATTTAGAATGCATCTGCGAGCTGCTCTGGATGCACAATTTTATAATCCGCTCCCTTGCAGAAGTTCTGTATAATAGTGATGATCTTTCGAGGTATTCCATAGTGTCGAAGATAATTCCACGCTTCTCTATTCATATTGTCGAGCGGTTTCTCGTGACAAAGGTAGTCGATGTACTGCAATTCATCCCATTCAGTTGATTGCTCAACAATCATCCGCAGTATTACAAGATCCTTACAAAAGCTGGCTTGTTGATCTCTAAGTTGGTCGCCCCCAAATGCCCTGGTACGGCCGAGAGTGGGGAGAGTCCGCTCTACCCCTCGAAGTGCTCTCACATGGCCACGCATATATAGCCTCTGCCAGGGAAGTCCTACTCACTGCCTTCTCGTGGCGGGGGTGTTGTTTACGAAAATGTGAGGACGAAAAGCGAATGTCCGGCGCTCTAACCGGATTCCAAACCAATGGTGCACATGGGCTCCAGTATCTTGCGGGAACAAATGGCGTATGAACCAATTGTTGGTCACCGGCTTCCATGGGACTGTATCTCCTTACGATGCTCCACTGCCTTGTGGATCAGACCTTCAGGTCGAAGGCTCGGGGAGTGTCCCCCTAAGGAAACCGCTTGCTTCGGTTTGGGCACCCGGGCAGTATCACAGCCCTCACACATTTCGAATTAGATTTGTGTGGCGCATATGTATTTTTTGCCTCCTTGTACCAATACCTATGTGTTAAAATAAATAAATAAATAAATACTGAACCTTTGATTTGGTTCAGCTACACTGTTAAGAAATTTTCCTGGTACTGACATTCGTTTGGTTCTCACTCCTAAAACCTTTGTTTAAGATCTTGATGAGCTATACTTCTTTCTAGTTTGTTGGTACTTGTTAATCCTCCCATATCTTTCTGAAGAGAGTATGGAATATCTTTAAAATTACCTGTATATCTGAATTTAATGCTTCTGTAAGTTGTCTGGTCCTGCCACCATACCATTTCTAATTTGTCTGATGGCCCTACCTGTTGGTGCTTATCCCGACCTTGGTGTTTGGGCGTCTCATTGGGATGGTCGGTTCTTTTTCTGGATATTTCTCTAGGATGGACTGAAACCTCTCATTTAACTGGTCTTTAATATCTTCATTGTTATCGTTAGTAGTGCGTAGCAGTAGATGAAATTCACTTCAGCCCTATACTTTGTTTTGAAGAATGCTTTGATGACCCTGTATTCACGAGTTTCCCATCCTATTGGGGCTTTTTGTGCTTTTTTTCAGAGCATCATTACAGTTCCTTGTATATGGAGTGACATTATCTTCTCCAACGTCTCTCCCGTAGCTTGATTTTTCTTTCTAGATTGTGTCCAATTTCACTCATTCCAAGCAGAACCAGCTTGTATTTTTGCATTCCCTCCACTATTTGAATAGCCCTTCCGGTCTATCACGTTCATACATCCCACTTCCATATGTCGATTTTCGTCCTGAATGGGAGAGGGGGTGTCAGCCTCATGGTTTTTGAAGACGACTATCGACTTTCACCACGAGACGTCATGATTCTTCGATGTAGGGAGACCCCTCAACTCTCAGAGCAGCGTTCAATTGTTTTTTTTTCTGGTCATCAATTTCATGCTAGGATTCCTTTTTACGAGTTGTCGTTGGTAACCCTATTTTCAGCCATCCTTTACCCGTGCTTTGGATTTGAAGTAGCTATAAAGGGGCTCCAGGTGGATTTACGCAATTCACATCAACACAGAAAAACGAACTCTTTCTTCATTTAACTCCCTTGAATGTTCAATGACTTCGTATATCCACTTATTTTCATATTCATTGTTTTCTTTATAATCACTTTGACTGCTTTCAAGAGGTTTGACAACATGAATAGATATTATGGTTCTTTGTTTTATCAATATACATGGCTGAATATCCTTGGTGGTTTACTCAGTGTTGGTTATTTCTGTAATTAGAGAAACATGCGATCGTATTTTACTTTCGACACTTGTCACTGACTCAGCTCAATCTTGATGTGGCCTTTTTTATTTGACTAACAATCGATGAATATTGTAATCTTTGTGAGGAGTACGATTGTTACTCCTTTACTGATTTGTTGTATTTCCTTCTATTTGCTGAGAGTTCGCGAAGATTATGTGGTTCAGTGGTATTACGGAAAGTGTTCGAACAGGATGAATGTATAAGAAAAGTAAGTCGTACTCATTAAGTTCAACTGACACACACTGATTTCACTGGAACATCTATATTATAGAGTCAAATGCAACCAAGCATATTATGTGGTTAAGTATGATAGGTAAAACGTCATATATATTCGTATCCCTGTTTTTCTCCTCATACCACAGAAATCTTTTCCATTTGTTCACCACTATTTTCTTATATGTAAATAACGACGCTTTTTCTGTTGGTAATTGAAATTATGGTGAGACGTTTTCATATTAAGCTGCCCCGGCTAACCGTTTCTCTCTACAACAAATTTGTTTAGTATAACCACTCCAATCACCGAGGTCGTGGTAATGGGCATCCATCCAATGAAGTTGATGGAAATACGGGACGTGGACGTGGTCGAGGGCGTGGTTCAGGTCGTCAAGGTTTGACACATCGAGAACCTGTTGGTGGTCAGTCACAAACTTCAGGCAGTAATGCTTGTCGACCTGCCAGTTGCTTAGTTGATACTCCAGGAGGGCAATTAGTTGTAAGTTGTCACCTATTCAGGTGACATTTTTGTACTCGTGTATAATTTTTGATCAATTTTATTAACCGCGTTATTGAGACCGTTCCTCATTCAATTGTCAAAATACCTTGCTGACTGAATTTTCCTTTTTGAAGAAGTTGTACAAATCCTAGATAGAATCCTAACACTTTCTTATTAGTACTTTGGGTCTGTGGATGGTCGGACGACGAGATCTCAGACATGTTCCTCAGTGTTATTATCGGTGCACTATAATTAGTTGGTAATTTCTCGACTTCTATCCTTATCATTTCTCAGTTGGATAAAAAACAGTCTGCCGTTGAAAAAGTCCCTTTTATAAGTTAAACGAAAGTAGATATAGTTGTTCTGGTTGACGTTTACCTCTTGAATTATTTTTTGCTTAAACAATCACCAAATAAAAGAATACTAAACGGTTGTCTTTGTCTGCTACCACCAGTATGAACCTTCATCAAAGTTAATTATAAAGCTTTATTCGTAATTTCAATTTTGACGACTCAACATTTTCGTTGCGTACTAAACTTTCTGCTTCAGGAATATCTGCACTTTCTACAAAATTTTCTCCGGTGACTAACCTATTGAAGTATCTGATACTTTCAAGCTCTCGGCTGCATATGGTTGGTCTGTAAAGGGATCTAGGCTGTACCTAGACTTGCGAATTTGCATCATGTTGTGTGCTAACATATTGTCAACAATAGTCAGGTCCCTCAATGCGGAATTCCAGGTGTAGGCAGCCGGGACTTGTCAATTATTCACATGCCAACATCAACCGGACCAATACTTGATAAAAATCTTTATTCTTTATATTTCCTGTATTTTTAATACCAACCGTCCCCTGGTCTGATTTCTTTTTCATGCGCAACCAGTGCCAGCAATCTGATCTTGTAGAATCCTATCCCGCATATCTTGGGATCGCCATCCAAACTTTGTGTTGGGGAGATCTAAATGTCTGGACCGTTTGTCAGATTCGGCAAAAAGCTTAGAATCTCACATAAGTGAGTTCCTGTTAACAATCGCTTGTTTGTTATCGGATTAAATGGTACAGCAAGAACTCCGAAAGATCGTATACATCCCATTGATCGCAGCTTAGATAAAATGAAATACAATTTCTATCGGAAACTTTCTAACATCTGGAAAGCTACACTTTCAAGTGTAGCAACTTTGGCGAATAATTTTAACTCCTATGTAGGTAGGCTAAGTCAAACTGAAAAAACATTTATATGAAACTATCCTCATTCCTGGCTAGATAACAGGGAGATTTTAGTACAACTACTCTCAGATAAATGTATTTGCTTAGCAAGTAGTAGCCACAGGAAAATTGAAAGATGCCGTATAATTTGGAGACTGACGAAATCATAACGATAGGGATAGATGAATCTCGTTTCTAGTAGCCATCGTATAAAATACTGAACTGAAGAATCCCACCCTTTATGAAACATGTTTTGACGCCGATCACGCTACGGTATGAACTCGTTTTTCTCTACCATGTTGGACACAGGACAAATCCAAGAATAGTATCTCTTTGAACTCAGGCCTGTAATGAAAAGGTCAAAGGTGTACTTAAAATAGAACTAACTGAGCACTGAGTATGTCATGTAGACACTGTTCATCCTGAGGTAGTCTGACAGTTTTCAATTGGAATGCAGGGATAATTCGTAACCTGTCCATTGCAGCAAGTTGATTTTTTGTAAAAGGATAATTTCATTGATTGATTATGTTTTCCTTAATAATGCATTCAGGAAGAGTAGACTTAACTCCTTTATAGCGTCAAGGATAACTGCAATGATAGTTGCTAAAGTGACGTCAATTTTATCAGGCATACATCAGGGTTTGATACATGGAAATACTTAACAGTGTTCAACTGTAACTGTATTTGTTGACCTTAAGGTTGCATTCGACTTCGTTTATGGACACAGTTTGTGTCAACAACTGTTATTAAAGACATTAAGGTAAATAAACCTTCTGATGACTCTTTAACTGACCACTACTGGTTGTGTCTGAGCCAATGATAAGCTGTCATCTGAACTAGCTACTCCATGCTGTTCATCAAGGTTGTTTACTCTCTTCATTTTATTCTATTCGTGCACTTGGCTTCTTTACTTCATTGGTACATCTTTCAATGATAGGCATTACTGTAAAACTTGTCGATAAACGGAGTTGAATGCAGCCTCAAAACAAACAAATGTAATTAATATCGAACATCGCTGAAGTATACATTTATATCCAAACCCTGATGAAGGATAGCATGGGTGCTTATCCCTGTATTTCGATTGTAAACTGGTTTGTTAACTGTAGCGTAATAACTTGATAGTGTTCAGCCTCTTAGTTGAATAGGAGAGTTTCAGTTTGTGTGACGAATTTTTACAAGCACCTCTTGTATTCAACTTCTCTTAGAGTCCCTTTGGGGGCTACTGCTGGTCCCAAGCTCGGATAAAGGAGGAGGGTTGGGCATGGGGTTAGCGACCCCATCCCGTAGAAGACTAACTCGCTGGAAAAGCGCTAACCTCTTGTATACCAGTACTCATAGATGTATTTTTTAAAGTATTATTTACCTAGTAAACAACAACAATTGAGTCTTGTTATCATTTTTATTGTCATATTTATTGTATACCCATTAAAGGTCACTTCATAAGTCTATACTCGGTTTATTCTAATCATATTCTGGTCGTGTTGAACTTTTGCTGACATTGTCTCTTTTTGTCCGAATTTATATACCACTCCTAGTTGTTAAGCCTGTCTATCCCGTATATACTACAAATCTTTCTGATTAACATATCTGAAGGTTGCCAATGTTCCATTTATTCTGAACAAATACTAGAGTAGTTCCTCAAGTTTAGGGGTGTCTTTGTGTGTACAGTAAAAGCTTGTGCATAGTTCTAACTTATCATGGCCTCTTATTCATTGCTCTTACCCCTCTCAAAATTGTTTTCCAATCTCATTCTTGCGTAATCAACCTGTTTTAATGGTCTTAGTTTTGTTTCCACCTGTCTTTTCAATTAATTCGAGGTTAGGGTTCGATTCCCGCTTTCAGATCCTAGACGCGCACTCTTAAGGAGGCCTGTACTAGGACGAAACGGCCGTTTAGCGCTTCCAGGTTTTAAATGGTTCTCTAATATTGATCGGTTCATGATTTCCGTAAAACTCAACAATCTCCACAACCCTATACGGATATAAATTTATCATTATTATTTTTACAGTTATATATTCAGTTGTTTAATTGCAGAATTTTGCTATTCTTATTCTTATTCTTACACAATTAGTTATAATCATCAACAGATTATGTAACCTTGTTTTCTGATCTGTTGAGTCATTAACTGAATACTATCTTTAGATGAAATATTGAGGTGTACCGTTAAATCGGATCATCGCTACTCGCTATTTGATATCAATTTTATGCATAATTGTACTATAACAAAGAATTATTGGGGAAGAAGTATTTCTTCTATCAACTTGTAGTTTAAATTGTCATTTAATTATTGATGATTATGATGATCGTCCCTCAGCATGACCCAATTGTCTTATCAGTTTGTAAAAGATACTTTGTTTATCAATCAGATTGATACAAAGTGGTTTATGTTAAGAATTTCCCAATAGCATTATTTCCATAATAAAACTTTTGTATTTTTGTTGAGAATAATTATTTTCAGGTGTTTTTTGGAAATTTTAGTAATTTCAATAGTTAAAATCATGAGTGACTTGAAGCTAGACCACCATGGAAAACCTGGAATCACTGGACGGTCGTTTTGTCCCAGTATGGGACTCCTCAGCAGTGCGCACCCACGATCCCACACCCCGCGAGATTTGAACCCGGGACCTGTCAGTCTCGCGCCAAGCGCTTACCCATTAGACCACTGAGTCGGCATCCAATGGTGTTAATGTCATCTGCTCACTAGTGACTGACTTCAAGATGCATTTCCTGGAGTTCTAGTGAGAAGCCGTGACCAGTGGAATTCAACCGAGTTTGTTGTGAGATATCAGCTCACTGAAGACAATGGTGGACGGTGGCGCAATTGTATTGTCAAGAATATCAAACAGTAATTCGTTCACCTCGTCAATATGTATGGAGCGATATCGTATCATCGATCTGATTTCTTTCAGCATTTTAAAATCTGACACAATATGACTCTAAGAGGAGTTGAGCGGCTAATAAGTGATTGAAAACTAAGTTTACAGACATCAAATGATTAAAATCCCAATGCATTCTCAACAACATTCCCCGTTGATAGCCAAAAAAATGTATAAATTACTTTAAACAGTAATTATCTGTCATTCGTATTTGTTTATGGCCAGTCTTGCTCCTAAAACATCTCTTACCAACACGTAATACATTTCAATATATATATGGTGAATATGGAGGATCCACATAGGGGAGTTGGAAAACCCTGGTTCCAAACCAATGGTGCACATGGGCTCCAGTATGTTGAAGGAGCAAATGGCGGATGAACCTATTGTTGGTCATCGGTTGCCATGGGACTGCATCTCCTGACGTTGCTCCACTGCCTCGTGGATTAAACCTATAGGTCGAGGTCTCCGGTTGTGGCCCCTTAAGGAAACCACCTGCTTCGGGTTGGGCACCCGGGCAGTATCCCAGCTCTCACATAAATCGAATGATTTATGTGGCGCATATCTGTTTGGTGCTTCATTGTACCAATGTTTATGTGTTTAAATAAATAAAATAATCCTGATGACAGTTAAATGTGGTAAGAGTCGTGACTAACTTTCTATTTAGCCGGTTTATAGGTCTTAATATTCTAAAACTGTATAGAGATTTTCACTGACAACTATTTTCATTTCTTCTGGTGGAACATTGTTAAGTTTTTAATTCTTACATTTATTCTTGAAAGACAATATATAGAAATAAATATCCGTTTTTTTCTCTTTTGCATTTTGTTTTACTAAGCAACAAACCAAAAATGGGAGGATTTACTCCAAATCGTTTTGTAGTGACCCACCTCCTGGTTTCGACTTACCAATTCATGATAAGCCTACTAGTGAGTCATCATCTTCAATAACTTGTCAAAAAGAAGACGTTTTTATTGATAATAATGATTCAATGCCTATTCATCATTGTCATCTTGTGGATGATGATTCTTCAAAGAGTTCTACACAAATGAATCCTAAACAATCTAATATACATCCTTGTAATTGGTATTATATTGATCTATTTACATGTACTCAAGGTCCATTTACAAATCAACAAATGAGTACATGGCTTGCTGGTGGTTATTTACCATTAGCTTTAAAAATACGTCGTGATTGTGATGAATGTTTTCTTAGTTTAGGTAAGTGATTAATTATACAATTTACATAAGTCTCAGTGATTAACTTAAATTTCTTCCTTATTAACTATTATTCATAGTTACATTACACTGTATTTACAGTATCAAAAATAAAATTTATACTTTCTCAAAAAGTTGATTCATAAAGTTAATACCATGTTCTACTACTATTGATCCTGAAGTATATTGTTCAATTTCTAGTCTGGAATATACACTTCATCTTGACATTCATCAGTCAAGTTCGTAGTACTATCTATGTATTTTCCAGAAATTAATATTTATATTATTGAGATTTCGAAATTCAATATTTTATTTCTACTTATTTATTTGAACACATAAATATTGATACAAAAGGGCATCGAATATATATGCGCTACACAAGTCACTTGATTTGTGTGTGAGCTGTGATACTGTCCAGTTTCCCAGACCGAAGCAGATGATTTGCTTAGGGAGGTCACTCCCAGAGCCCTCGACCTAAAGGTCTGATCTACAAGGAAGTGGAGCAGCGTAAAGAGATACAGTCCCATGGTAGCCGGTGACCAATAATTGGTTTATACGCGATTTGTTCTCTCAGGATTGTGGAACCCATGTCCATCATTGGTTTGGAATGAGGGTGGATCCTCCATATCCACCAACCCGGTTAGAGCGCCGTACATTCGCTTTTCGTTCTCTCAATTTCGTAAAGAACATGAATGCCACGAGAAGGCAGTAAGTAGGACTTCCTTGGCAGAGGCTGTATACGCGTGACCATGTGAGAGCATTTTGAGAGGGAGAGCTGATTCTCTTCACTCTCGGTCGTATCAAGGCATTTGGGTGTAATGAATTATAATTATGATGGCTGAAGTCCAATGATAGCTATTGAGCTTGTGTGTGTATGATTTGTACCTATAAATAATTGTGTCAATATTTTTGGGTCTATCAATAAATTCACACCAGATAGCAGCCGCTTACAGTGAAGTCTTATTTGTCATCCTAAAATTTTAGGATCTAATTTTGATCACAGTGGAAATTTAATCTTTAAAGCAAATCTGTACATCCTTGGTATGATCATTAAAGGGAATAGTAATGTTTCCTCTTCATTTATTTATCCGTGACTATATTCTTTCTATACTGTTTAAAGTATATTGTTTAAGCGATTTGGAGTTTGAAATAAATTGGTTACGATGATCCTGTAATCCGTAAGATTTAAGAGTATTGATATTGCTTATACATTTTTTAGCGCCCATTGACTCCATTATACTGATTAAATTCATTAATAATATAGACGAAATATTAATCCTAATTACAGTCGTATGTGTTCTATGAACAAATTCCAATAATAACAATGTGTATATAAAACGTTGAATAAAAAAGTATATCGGAGTAGGAAGATGCCAGACAAGCATGACATTGATCACCACCCAGTGATCAATCAATTGTGATTACATCTCAGTCCTACAGGAGGTTAGTCACAGCTCGGATAGCTCAGTGGTAACGTCTCTGACTGTGAAGCTGGGTGACACGAGATCGAATCGGCCAGGGAGCACCAGTTCCCTCAAGATTACAGGTACACCTTGCTGACGAGTGCCAAGTAGCACGAAACCCGGGTGCAGGGATTCCTGTTGACTACCTCCAACCACCATCCAAATCTCAATACATTGTGCCCGCAGTGTCGAGTCACCTAGACTGGTGGCCACATTGCAACATGATCGATAGCATTGGATCTGCACTAATGAGGACTAGACAAGCATGACATTGATCACCACCCAGTGATCAATCAATTGTGATGCCAGAAATGTTTACTCAAAATATTACTCATTACAAACGTTAATATGACTCAAAATAAATAATACAAAGTGCAACAAAGAGATAGGGGTTAAATCAAATAATTAATGCACGTCACACACACAAGTGCACATATGACATACAGTGTCGAATCCTGAGGACATTGATTATAAGAAGTATTTGTCGTGAAGGTCACTATTTCCTATATAAAAAGTGGGATTTAGGATGGTATAAAATAGCTCAGTAGTCAAATTCTGTCAGTAATCTAGGTTTGTCCAGAATCACATAGGCGTGCAATAAGTTGCCACTCATTCATTTGAAAGTCTAATTTCACTCTTCGCTGATCGACATGAATATCTTTAACTATTTAGGAAATCACATCATTTCAACCATTTGACTCAGCTCATATAACAATATGCTTTAAACACTATAGATACAACACAATCACAGATGAATATTTTTGAGAAAACGTACAAAACCGTGTCCATCTCACGATCTTTCCACTGATGGCCAAATCAATCAAAAAATTTCGCTCCTATTGTATTTAAATCAAGGTTTCTAGATATCATGACGAATACCAGAAATTCTCTGTGAGCAGATCCTATTTAGTATAAATTTATCACTGTTCCTTCACTCATTTTATACAAATCCGTGATTCAGCAATGCGACAACATCACTCCACCACGAGTTTTCATTTATTCAACCTGAGATACTGAATACGACACCGACCAGTACATCGACCTTGACATCATTACTAAAGTGTCGCTATATAGCTACCTTCTTTTGTTTCCACAGGATCACTCACATCAGGCAGATCTCAACACCTTTTTACAAATACCGAGGTACAATAATGTATGTTTAGAAATAGTCCAAGGAGTATCACAATGTGGAAACGCCACATTCATTGTCTTAATCATGATTTACGCATGTTATCCTGCTGGTTTTCATAGTACTTAGGATTCGCCGATTTTGAAAAGTATAAGTAGCTAGTAATGTAAAATAACTGTTGGATGGAAATCTCTTCACCGTTTAGGGTTTCTTGTGTAGAATGCGGTGACATGATAATATCACACAATGCACTTGTTTAGAATGCTACCTGGCCTGGTGACGGGTAATGACTGGTCCTTGTTTCCTTATTCGAATAGATATTTTCCCTAAATACATTGTCTTCTACATGATTAGGTCTGAATAGAAAGAAAGAATGACATGTGTATCATTGGTAGGTGTAGACTACTTGGTTGGGGACCGCGAGATGATAGCAACCGATGGTTAGAGACCCTGAATGACATGGTTCAAAATCGTTTGCATTGGCGCAGGTACATCCACACTTTGTGTTCTCCCAAAATTTTAATCTTCTGAATTTTTCATGTCCCTTTCTTTTTTCTCTTTCCAAATTTGTTTGACTGGATTATACTCCTTAAATAACATCTTCAAACCCTAATTTTTCTGATTACAGCTTATAATTTTACTACATCTAGCACTACGGGATTTGAATCGAACACTGCATCTCTGTGCTAATGTGGTGTGGCAACTCGAACTGATGTACGTACGTACGAAGTTCTACGTTGTTACTGACTGACTGCTCTTAACCACTACTTTTATTACTTAAGATAGGTCATATAAATCCGTATCCCATCAATCATTTTGTCAGTTTGTCTTTTCCAACATGAATTTATATTTGTGGAATCCCGCTCCAGCGTTCACGTTGATCTTGTCAGCAAATCAAATCATCTAATAGAATTTACTCAAAAACATTAGGTAATACATTCACAAAATGTTTTGATTAGTCATACGAATTAGTTCATTCTATAATATACTTATTCTCTGGTGAATAATACTTTCATTCACTGACTCTATGATTGTTATCCCACTTCATCTGTGTCGGTTTAAGCTGCTAACAATGTTTGTGCTACGTCAAAGCTAGATACATTAGTCTATACTTGAAGAATGATTGACATTAATTAATACTTTTGTACACATACATGAACGTACAAATAGTTGTTTTATCAATATGATGGATAGTAGTTGTATCTAAAACCATAATAAATGTATTGAGATTATTTCACCTGACCTGATGGGTTTAAATGGGAAATAAATCTTTATTTACTGTTTTCCTGAATCTCCTCTGTGTGTATGTTGTTTTGAGCTACGTTTCATCCATATATATGTCTTTATATGGATCAATCTAGGTAGCTCTCGCTCATATTGTATGTATTATTTACATTAATTCTAGATTTGTTTATTAATGTCCTATAAAATACAATTGTATTTCTGCAAAGTTTCACTCTTCTCAATGGTTTTATTTCACTCATTTTTTCTTTTTATTTAAAGCTGATCATATGAATTTAGCTGGACGTATTCCATTTTGGACTGGCTACAATCAACCACCTATTACACATGCAAATTTATCATCACTTTCTGTATTAAACAATAATAATAGTAGTAATCAGGTATTAACTCACTCAACTATTATCACCAACCAAATATCTTCCTCAACTCCACCAGGTATTACAAATCGTAAAACAGATTGCGTAACTTCACTTCAACAATCCACAATACCAACATTTGATGAAGATACAACTCAGGTAAATACTATTACATACTATTATCATTACGTTGATATGTAGTATATTTAGCTAGTTAATTATTATTTCTGAGTGACAATTTATTAACGTGTATCATTAATATCATTGTAAGTCCCCAAATGCCCTGGTACGGCCGAGAGTGGGGAGAGTCAGCTCTCCCTCTCAAAATGCTCTCACATGGCCACGCGTATACAGCCTCTGCCAAGGAAGTCCTACTAACTGCCTTCTCGTGGCATTCATGTTCTTTACGAAATTGAGAGAACGAAAAGCGAATGTACGGCGCTCTAACCGGGTTGGTAGATATGAAGAATCCACTTAGGGAAGTTGGAAAACCCTCATTCCAAACCAATGATGCACATGGGTTCCACAATCCTGAGAGAACAAATCGCGTATAAACCAATTATTGGTCACCGGCTACCATGGGACTGTATCTCTTTACGCTGCTCCACTTCCTTGTAGATCAGACCTTTAGGTCGAGGGCTCTGGGAGTGACCTCCCTAAGCAAATCATCTGCTTCGGTCTGGGAAACTGGACATTATCACAGCCCTCACACGAATCGAATGATTTATGTGGCGCATATTTGTTTGGTGCCACCTTGTACCAATGTTTATATGTTTAAATAAATAAATTGTAAGCAATAAACTTTTTGAAATGTACTGAGTTACGGCCCATTAACATCAAGCAGATATAAGGAACAGTTCAATTTGCCTGAGAAAATGCAGACAATAACCATGAAGATTACAGATAAGGTGAAGAATTGAATATAAGTATTAAAAAAAAGAGAAAAGTACGGAATAGTATCTATTTTGAAATGTCGAATAGTAAATAATTGTTTAGCATTTCTATCATTTTGAGTCATCATTCTCAAGTTAATCAATCATAGGTGGTTGAAGTTATCTCAAAGACGTCAGTCTGTAAGTTTATTATTAGCTATATTCAATATTATATTTTTGGTGCAATATAGAATTCTCAGCACAAAGTATTTCAGCAAGTTTCCATTTCGTGTTTCTTGATCGATCCCGATGATAAATGTTGAATGATCACTAGTTAGATGTTTACAGTTCAAGAATCGACACCTGATTAACGTATATTCTTTTCAATGCGGATTTCCAGCAACCGCGATGTCTCTGATTGGGCTCCTTTGTAACTTGCACAGCGAAATGTCGTAGACTTCTCACAAACGCAACTGAATAGGTTATGAGACTAATAAATATAGTGATGTGTTAAAACAAACAAGAAAACAGATAACTCGTTGAAATATCTACATGGCATGAACAGGTAGTTCAGATATTCAAACAGGTCGCCATCTCCATACACATATCAATCTGAAAGTTAACGACTTGATGGATTAATGCCGTATTCTATACCAACCACTTTTAATCTGCTCTGCTAGACAGCATAAGGAGAGACATCGTCTAACATGGCGATCCCCTACACCAAACCAACGATGGACTCAAATAGACCATATTGCCATCAGTCATCGTTGGAGAGGGTCGGTAGAAGATTGTCGCTCATACTGGAGTACCTGCTTGGACTCCGACCATGCCCTAATACGGACACGCATCTGCTTGCGCCTCACCAATTTGTATCTTCTCATTTCCGTTGCTATTTGGCTGGTCCTCCCGGTCTCCCACATTGTCCGGACACTCCGTATACCTATATTAATTGTTGCTAGAAGGGTCATCGTTCTCATAACTTCCGAAGAATATCGACTTTCGCCATAAGGCGTCATAATTCTTCCTTAAATTTTACATTATTTATCCCGGTTAGCATTTTTTTCCTTAGCAAGGTTGTTAAATTAGTTATCGATGATTTTTGTTCATGATTAGTTCTTTGACAATATGATCTGAGCAAATATATCTTTATTGTTTAGATGAAATTCACTAAAAAAATTTCTAAACTTTAATTTTTTAGCTTCAAAACAAAGGAGACATTAGTGTTTCTGATAGTGATAAAACTCAGTTAACAATCAATGATGATTCAATATCATTGAATATGTCAACATTATCATCAAACACTATATCATCTCCTGTAACTAATTATTCAGAATTACAAACAATCAATAATTCATCTTTATTTACTGAAATCCATGATAAAACATTATTAGATTTATATAATGAAGCTAAAACTATTGCATTACATACATCTAAAATTGAAACAGAACGTTTATTATTAGCAAATAAATTAGCTGAAATTAATAGTACTACAGCTAAATTATTATCCAATTTACGTCCAACTCAATTAAGTTCTACATTAACTGAATCATTAATTCGAACAACAAATGCTGTACAAACTGAATTAGCACGTATATTAGAACCATGCATTAGTGATAATAATAATAATAATAATATTTCTAATCAAATTAATAATAAAAATACTATTCTTACTACTACCTTCTCTAATACTATTGACGATGGTCATCCCGATAATGGTGATGATGATGCTAATAATAATAATAATATCAAAATTGATAATGACGTTAGTTCACCCATTCTCAATGATTATGTTGTTTCATCGACAAAATTTTCAACATTATCATCTTTAGGAATAGAACTTACTGAATCATTATCTACTCTAACAATACTTGATAATATTCATCATAATGAAATTCATTCAACGAATGATAAACAAATTTCTATAGATAGAAAATTAAATACAAATGATGTAGATATTGATAATGAACTTCCCTTAAATTCAACAATGAACAATCATATTAGTCAGCATACGAATAATGATGCATATGTTAGTAACAACAATGTTGTTGTTGATGATGACGATGATGATGATAATGATAAAAAGTATCAACAACTTGAATCAATAGAAAAACTCATTCCTGAACGTGAAATTACCGTACCATTGACTTCAAATAATAATAATCATGAACAAGAAACATCAACAACTACGAAGAAATCTAAACGTAAAAATAAGAAAGCTAATAAAAAGTGAGAATAATTATTTTTATTATTAAAAAAATAATATTGAATGTTTTCATTTGTTTATCTTCAATGCATCGGTAACTCAGTTAGTCAGTGGCTAAGGCATCCATCTTCCAGTCATTACGTCACAAGTTCAAATCCTGTACTATCTAAGTTGGTATTGAATACTAAATAAACTTGTAATTGACCAATTTTGTTCTCTAAATGAGTAATGTGAGATTTTCAGATAGAAGGAATGTCGACAGTCAAACTTATCTGTATGATGCATCCTTGACAATATGCAGTGAATCTATTCTGTCAACTCTTAAACCTTCATACATAAAAAAACATTTTATTTGGCTGACAGTATGCGAAAGTTTCGTCTAATTTGAAACTTATGCACTGGATGTACCCTATATATCCCTGTATTTATGTATATATCTGGACTCAAACTCAGTACATTTCACTTCAAACACCGATACATTATCCACTGAGCGACTGAATCCACTAACTTGTTCAACCAGTATAAAAGTATTAGTAAGCATTTGTAATTTAAAACTGCAATTCATTGGTCTCTATTGCTAGTCAGTTTATGTTGATGACCACTGACTAACTTTTCTCCCGTGCACCACCGATGCTAGTTTGAACCCATGAAATTTTTTTCCTGTACATCTGAAACTACTCTCTAAACTATATGTTGGAACTTTCAGTCACCCAAATGCCTTAGTATAGCCGAGGGTGGGGAGCGTCTGCCCTCACATGGCCACGCGTATTCAACCACTGCCAGGGAAGCCCTACTCACTGCCTTCTCTTGGTGGGGGCTTTGTTTACGAAATCGAGTAGACGAAAAGCAAATATCCGGCGCTCTAGCCTAGTTGGTGGATACGGAGGGTCTCCCGACGTTGCCCCACTGCCTTGTGGATCAGACCTTTAGGTTGAAGTCTCCGAATGTGGTCCCCTAAGAAAACCACCTGTTTCGATCTGGGCGTCCGGGCAGTATCCCAGTCCTCACATAAATCAAATGACTTGTGTGGTGCATATTTATTCGATGCCCTTTTGTACCAATATTTATGTGTTCAAATAATAAATAAATAAACAATCTTCAAACCTGCTCAAACTTCTATTGAATGGCGCTCATAAACTTCATGGTTTTAAGTAAATTTGTGATTAAATAGGTTTATGGTATTTATCTATAACTATTAATTTATAGATTCAAATGCTACTTCATCTGTATTAGTCTATTATAGAATATCTCTAATGCGTTTCTATGATATCCAAGTAAACAAACTACAATCGGTTGGCCAATGAGTAGAAGTGATCCATGAACTTGTCAAATGACGAGTACCAACTAACAGTAAAGTTAGATTGAACAGGGCTTCATACTAACTACCCCTAACGGCCTAACATCTTAGCATATTAGACGTAATGTTTATTTACTTAGGCTAGTGGTGACATTACAACTTGATCAACAGAATTCGGTCAGCACTAAAGGATTAGATAATCATAACATTAGTCACACCATTGATCAATCGATTGTGAATATCTCCTTCCTACTTGATGTGAGTCTCAGTCATATCTCAGACTGTGTAGATGTGTGGAACGGGTTTAAATCCTACAGGAATGATTTCTCTCAAGATTCTAGATGCAACTTAATGACGTGTGTCAACTAACATGTGGCTTAGGTCCAGGGTTTCCAGTCAAATACATCCAATCATTTTTAATTACTGGGTTACTTTGCTGATATTTTTATACCGAAAGAAAGGATTTGCCAGAATTACATAGTATCATATTTAACCATATATAGAATAACACCAGAAGAAGTACGTCGATTAGCTTGGGAGTCAGAATTCAATCGTCGTAAAGCTGCCGCATTAGAACAATCATTAGCTGAAGAAGCAAGATTAAAGAAATTGGCCGAAGAAGAGGCAATTGCTTTAGCTGCTGAAAAAGCTTTAGCTGTACAAGAGAAAAATCGCCTTCTTGTTGAACAGCGTAAACGTGAAATATCACGTCTGAAAGCAGATAGTGAATTGGCTCAGTTAAAGTTGCCTGAATCCGCACGATGGGCGGCGGCTGCTACTAGTAATACAAATATCACAAACAGAACTGCTCCAATAGATTTACGTTCTATTCAAGCTTCTCAAGCAGCTGAAGAGGTGAGTATTAGGTTATAGTTTTATTACCTCATTAATTTGTAGTTGTAAACCAATAGCTCATCTTTTTTAGAAGAACAACGTAACCACATGCATATACGTTTAAACTCAGTGTTTTAACGATTTTTTTCAAAATCCATAATATTCCTTCTAGTTTAATGTATGCATCCTTTCCCTTAAGGCGTCCGACTTTCGACCACTGAGTTCTAGGTTCGGACCTTGTGCCCCCTACTTCTTTTTGAGTTAACAGGTAGTATCACCAGTGCCTCATACCCAAGTACCTGGTGAATGAATTAATTTGTTATATAATTTGGCATTAGAATATGAAGTGTTTGACTTTCTTGGCTACCCTATTAACTTTGCAGGTTACATTAGGTTGAATGGTCTTTTTCGAAGTCACCATATATAGAACTTGTCTAACCGTTCTGACTGATGACATCTTTATCCAATAGCAATATATCCGAATATCTATTGAGAAGAACGTATACCAATCAACGATTGGTTCTGTATATAACAACATCATTGAAAACCAAACATATGTGGATTACTGTACTTCGATCTTCTTATTTGTCTTAAGGGCATCTTGTATATTTTTACAGCTACCAATTGAACGGCTGTGACTCACTCAATGATAGACTTTAGGAAAAAATTGGTTATTGTCTTATTGAAAGGATCACAGATTAATTTCAGCTGGGTTACCACTTAGAACGAGGAAACGTTGACCATCTATCTGGTCATAGTATGGGACTAGTTCTACTAAAAAGCAGCGACCAGTGGAATCAGATGTCAATAAAATATCACCAACCACAATAGATGGTATACGTCCAATATCGTAAATTGGCTGAAGTTCGAAATGTAAACCATTAGATACTAATAAATAGTGATCTTCAGGTTGGGTGGTCAGCTTGAGGCGCAAAGGTTCTGGTTCCGGTCCCTGATGGGATTGTGAACTCTCATTACTGAGTAGTCCCATACTAGGATGAAATAACTGTACAGTGCTTGCCCGTTTTCTTTGGTTGTCCAACTAAAGTGATCCCATAGTGTAGAAATACATGAATAAATTTATTTTTATGTCAGATCATGGACAAGAATAAACAGAACAGTACGCTCTATATAGTTACGCTACATGGTTTGTAGATTATCTATCAGTTTTTTTCTGCTTAACGTGAAAGAAGACCTAAGTAACAAACGCTCATTCTTACAACTTCATGTCACCAATCATTTTGAATCTTTATGTGCTCGTGTAAATATTAACTTCCAAAATCTACGTTTACACATCCACATGGTTATACATAACCAAACTGTGTGTTGGCACGCAATAATAAGCCAACCAAATATTGTGGAGTGGTGTCTAAGTGATCAAATTGTTCACCTTTCAGTCACTTTGGGGTTTGAACCCCGCTCCACCTACTTCAGTTTCAGCAACCGAGTAGTATTACTAACCGTTACACAATGAGTATGTCTCATACTTAAATACCTAGCAAAAGATGTTAATTTATTAGTATTATAAAATACAGTTAACATGATCAACTTCTAATATCCGTTAAAACATGCTAAAAAAAACCTCGTTTCTGATATATATTTTCTATTCCAAAATTGATGAGGATAAAAATAACAATTGATTTTATTTTGACGAAATAATAATAATCACCATAATATAAGCAGTGATGGACAGTGGCTAGTAGTGGAATCCAGGACGCGCGTTTCGTCCTATTTGGGGCTCGTCAGCTGGATGTACCTGTATCTCAGAGTCATTGTCTACTCTAATGCTCGAACCCAGTACTGTTCGCTGCAAATGCCATCAGATTATCCACTTATTTATTGAATCCTGATAGCCACTAGTTTGTACAATGTAGTGAAGTTTAAATTCATTTTGCATTGTTTACTTGAATCGTCCGATTGATGTTTATGATTACAATTGATCAGTCTCTTATTGGCGTATGTGCATCCTGTACGGATTGCCTCTATATTGCCTTAATTCACAAGCATTATAAGCAAGGACGAAACGTTCATCCTGGATTCCCTTGCTAGCCACTATCCATCTTTACTTATCATGCTTGTGAATTAAGATTATATCGAGGCAATATGCACATATGCCAATAAGAGATTGATCAATTTCAATCTTAAACATTAATGGGAAAATTCAAGTAAACTATGCATTATCAATATAGTTCATTACATTCGTAATTACGTCATATTTTCTACAGTATTTAACCATTGATATCATGTCAAATAATACCTTTTATAAAGGTAGGTATGTTCATCATTTTGTTAAACATCAAAAAGAATTACTTTCATTTTTCAATGGTTACTTAGTGTCAATTACTCAAGGATAATCGGTTTTAATTATAATGTTACCATGTTTGTTTTTCTAATGTAAATATCATATGATTATTATTTTTTTTCGTAAAAAAAAGGTCAAGGTGATAAATAGTTTAGACGTGAAATATCTTTGTTCAGTCCCCCCTTCTTCTTTTTTTTCTTTCTGTTTCTACATTAATTATCATGTTTAAACAGGATAAACAAGGTCAATCAATCAATCAATAATAAATGTAGTCTATACCATTCCAATTGAATATTCTTACTATCCTTACTTGATCATATCTATTTCATCGAACTATTTTTTCTTAATGATTACTATAAGCTGAACAAAGAGGATTTTAATAGTTGAATTCATGTGTCAATTGAAGCTAGACCACCATGAAAAACCTGGAAGCATTGGAAGGCCGTTTCGTCCTAGTATGGGACTCCTTACTTACTTACTTACACCTGTTACTCCCAATGGAGCATAGGCCGCCGACCAGCATTCTCCAACCCACTCTATCCTGGGACTCCTTAGCACTATAATATCCAAATAAACCCCTTCTGATATTAAACAAGATATGCACACTAGTGACTGGCTTCAAATAGTATTTCCTGGAGTTCTAGTAAGAAGCAATCACCAGTGGGAGTTCAACCGAGTCTGTTGTGAGATAGTAGCTCACAGAAGATAATGGTGGATATGTCGCTCAATTTCGTGGATTAGTTGAAGTTAGATATTAACATTGTTGGATGCTGGCCGACTCAGTGGTCTAGTGGTTAAGCGTTCGCGCGCGAGACCGACAGGTCCTAGGTTCGAATCTCGCGGGCGGAATCGTGGATCCGCATTGTTGAGGAGTCTCACAACAGGACAAAATAGCCATCCAGTGCTTCCAGGTTTTCCATGGTGATCTAGCATCAATTGACTCATGATCTCAGCTATTAAAATTACTATAGTATCCACATAAACCCCATCTGATATAAATCTATACTAGATTGATTACAGATTTAAAGCAATTAGTCCTTTTTATAAATTTCGATAGAGCAACTAGAGAACAATCTCTTCATATAAAAATGCCCTGATAAGTGTATATATGTGACCAGATTGTTCTCAATGTATAGCGCATATATATCACATTTTTTAGATCAACTCTATTGATTACAGATTATTGCGTTTATTTGATATGATTAAAAGTAATAAGTTAATTTGAAAATATTTTACACAGTTCTCATCCGATAGATTGGTGTCTGTGCGTGCTCAACATGTTTCTTCATTATCTTATGATTGTAACACCAAAATTTATTTGGTTGTGTTGTCAACAAACACTTCAAATCTCCAATTGATTGGTCACTCGGTGGTGATCATTGTTATGTATGTCAGGTCCTTCTTAGTGCAGATGAAATCCTATCGGCCAAGTTGCAGTTTGGCCACTAGTCTAGGTGACTCGACATTGTGTGTACTATGTGATGGTGGTACGTGGACCACCCAGTGATCAGTCAGTCAGTCAGCTACAACGTAGGACCAGGCACATATGTGCATCGGTCCAGATTGCCATACCTCATTAGCACAGCAAGATGAACACCGGATTCATAGGAGTGGTTAGGTCAAAGGTGGTAATATATAGGAGAAAGATTGCAATAAGAATGATGCTCCACTGCCTTGTGGATCAGACCTTTAGGTCAAAGGCTCTGGGTGTGGTTCCCTGAGAAAGCCACCTGCCTCGGTTTTGGCACCCGGGCAGTATCACAGCCCTCACACATATCGAATGAGATTTGTGTGGTGCATATGTATTTGGTGCCTCTTTATACCAATATCTATGTGTTGAAATAAATAAAAAATAAGTCAAAATAAAGCTTATAATAAGAGGAATATGAATATTCATAGTTTAGCTACTTAGTAATTATACAATAGAAATATATGCCATGTATTGGTCCATAAATAGTTGTCAAAAGTTACCATTTATAATTCTCGTTGAGATATAACAGAAATGGTTATTTTCCTCTTAAAATAAATCAATATTCTAAAACTGCCTCACTTATGAAATTGATCATTGCACATTCTAAAAATTTCCGTTCAAGAAATTTGTTAACGAAATCTATTTGATTTATAAAAGTAAATCATGAGGCGGGATTATGGATGTGCACTGCTGAAGGGGGTCCCACAATAGGACGAAACGGTCATCCAGTGCTTTGAGGTTTTCCATTGTAGTCTAGCTTCCATGTCAACTACTGAAATTCAAATAATTTCAATACTAAAAACTATGGTTATTAATAATAGTAATAAGTAATTCTTCCTTTCTGTACTATGTCCTTACACATGATCTTTCTTTTATATATATTACTATCATTGAATTAACTACTTTTATGAATTTGGTGTTTATCTTGTTGTGTTAATAAGTGAGATGTGGAAACTTGGATCGATGCATCTATGTGCTTAGTACTACATTGTAGCTGACTGACTGAATAGTAATAAGACTTTGTAGTGACTTACATTTATCACGAGAACACGACTGATTTAATAAAAACAATTATTATTATAAACAGTTGTACCAGTGTTTGTTTTAATGTGCTTTTTTTTACTGTGCTAATGACAGCTATATTGGACTTCCATTCTTGTCCACACACTTCGATTGTAACTTCGCGCGAATTCGGTTACCTTCTGTAACCAAGCTTGTATCCTGGCACGATCTCGGTATCCTTTCGATGCCACGAGATCGCCAGTGAATAAATTTTGACTTGGTCCATTTTCTGCCTTCTGATATTTGGCTTCTCGGGGATTTTATGCAGTCATTTGGGAACGAGCTTCTTAGTAGCGGTGTTCACTGTCAATTTCGACTCGACGCCATGCTACAACTTTTACGTTCATCATATTCACATTATTATTTTTTAGAGGAATAAAAACAAAGTCAATGTAGTCTACAGTTCATCTTTCATCATTAAAATACTTATGTTGAATATTCAGATAATTCTATTGTATATATTCGACTTTTGTTTTGTTTTTTCCTATTTTTGTGAAGTGAATGAGTTCTTCACAAATATTGAATAATAACCTCTTCTGAATGTTCTTACATTCCATCAGAACTGTGTTAACTTTAGGTTCAAACACAACAAGGATCGAAATATCCTGTTGTGAATCTGGTTACATATATTATCATGTATCATTGGTCATTCTGATCTAAAAAAAAAACGATATTTCAAATAATGTTGTGTTTTTTTCCTACTCTTTCCTGATCTTCATTTGTTCGATCAAAATAGTTTTTTTTAGTCTGTTCAGTAGAAAGAATATATATTTTGGACATCCCTATACTATTTGCTTTTGTGATTTGTCTGTTGTTGTATATTACTTAGTTTTCTTAGAAAAGTGTTATGATCACAGAGTTGAAAAGCGTGCTTTGACCTGAACGGCAGTACATCGTGATGTTGACCTTATGAGTTAATACATAAAGAAATAAATCTTGATAAATTAGGTTAAAAACTCTCTTTTAACATGTTCATGTGGTAGATATAACAGACCTGTATACTTATTTTCAGAGCAACTATACATTGACCTAAAGTTTGCACTTATTACCTTTAATAACTTCGAAATCATATAAATCATGTGTGTATCTTTTCAGGAATTTGTCACTTTACGATCATAAATTCTTAATTTAACTTATGCATTTATCTATTGACTAAGTGTTATTTCATTTTAAAGTTGTTCAAACTTATCTTACACCTTTCATGACATCTACGTTTATCTCTTCTTTATAAGGCTAAAAGAAAATATCATGATGCATTAATGTCTGAACAAGTTGCTGTGTTGATAGCAGCTGAAGCAGCTTCTCCATCAACAAAAACTCCACTTTCATGGTCTCAAATCGCTAAATCGGATACGACATCTTTAACACCTATAAATCCATGTATATCAAAGAATGATAAAACAGCTGAACGTTCTAAATGTGTAAGTTGTAAATTATCCTTTACTTTTCTTAGCTTATAATTTATTATATACGTTTGTCGAAATGGGGAATTCTTTGTATTTACATTTCATAAACTGAGTTCATAATATTTATTTTTTTATTTATTTGAACACAAATATTGGCACCGAATACATATGCACCTCACAAGTCACTTGATTTGTATGGGCTGTGGTACTGCCCGGGTGACCAGCCCAAAGCAGGTGGTTTTCTTAGGGGGCACACCTGGAGCCTTCGACCTAAAGGTCTGATTCACAATGCAATGAAGCAATGTCAGGAAATGCAGTCACATGATAGCCGATGACCTACGATTAGTTCATACACCATTTGTTTCCTCAAAATCGTGAAACCCATGTGGACCATTGGTTTGGAATAAGGGTTTTTCAACTCTCCTATGTGGATCTTCTGTATCCACCAACCTGGTTAAATTTCCGGACATTCTCTTTTCGTCCTCTCAATTTCGTAAACAGTAGTAATGCCGCGAGAATGCAATGAGTAGGATTTTCCTTGCAGAAGCTATATACGCGTGGCGATATGAAAGCATTTCGAGAGGGAGAGCGGACTCTCCTCACTCTCGGCCCTACCAGGGCGTTTGGGGGCAGTCATTGCCAATTAATTATGTACTGTTTGCTCTGCCATCTCCCACTTATCCTATGATTGTGTTTCAAGTATGATTTATTATTCGGTTTTGTGTGCGGTGATCGACCATCTCAAGTAGAGTGGAATAGAGAACTAATCTGTTACTTATCTGCATCTTCTGATAGTTGGCCACTCAGTTAGAAGGAACTCGAATACCAATAAACTTTAAAGTCTTTGGTTGCTGTTCATCGGTCAATATCTCAGTTGATACTAAGAAAAGATCATCGATCCTACTGACGATATAAGTGAACTGATCCATAATCAAAATCTTTATTGAGCGATATATTACTTATCATAATTCACAACATACCTCATTGTTAATATATTCCTACTATTACTTAGTCTTTAACATCTCACGAAGTCCAGACGTTTTGTTCTATAGCCCATTTAATTATGAAACTTTTTCCTACTCTCACTACAGTTATAACTAACTATTCACGTAACACTCGATGTGAATTTATTTTAGTGATGAAATATAATCAGCTGTAGAAGTTAACTAAAAGGGGATCTTTTACATTAAATATTGTTTGTTAGTCAATTTTCTCTTTTTTTTTCTGTTTAATTTTCCACTGAGCCTATACATTCACTTAGTTTATGTTATTCATAAATATGGTTTCTTTTGTTCTAGACTGTTGCTATATCATCTAGTAGTAATAATAATGGTCCAATACAGAAATCCATTAGTTATTCATCGAATAGTAATAATACTTCATCTTTAACACAATTAGATTATTTAAAAACCACTTCATCATCAAAAATATCCTTAAATAACAATATAATTTCTGCTGCTACTTCCACATCTGTCTCATGTACGCCGAAAGTGAATAATACAATTGTTAAGTCAGTGACTACAACAACAACAACAAATATACCTTCAATATGGGATCTACCTGTAACAAATAATCTAGATAATACTAACAATACAACTGGGAAAAAAAGCAATTCAAAAAAGAAGAAAGTAAGTCATGTAGTATACACTACAACAAACTATATATAATGCTATTTGTGTTGTTGAGTTTGTCTAATCTAGATTGCCTAAGTGTTGATCTATCATTGTCATTGTAAACAACATAATCAGTGCTTACTTTATATAGACTTTTACATGGATTAACAAAAATTCATAAAGTTGATAGACCGTTATGACCCATAGTAGATTTTACAAACACTCTAACATGTGCTTTATATAGGTTATGTTAAAGTGTTTTCAGTATACTGCTTAAATATTTAGATCATTTCATTAAAGACTCATGATTTAAAGCCAAAGATTTGAGAATTATCTGTCAAAAAGAATGAAACAATGGTAACCTATGAATGTTGCATATTTATACCCAAATATTACTATTGATAGATGCTGAAATTTTATGAAACGACAGCTAACAGACTCGTTCTCAGCAAAGACCTGTGTCAAGCAAGGTTACTTACTCTCACCTTTTCTCTCTCTCCTGGTGATCGACTAAATCATGAAGAAGTCAACATCTGGGGGGGAAGCATGGGATACACTGGACAGCTAGGATGCACCTGAACGATCTAGACTTCGTACATGATCTGGCTCTTCTATCATACGCACACAACAACAAATGCAGGAGAACACGACCAGTGTAGCAGTAGCCTCAACAGAAGTAGGTCTCAACATACACAAAGAGAAAAGCAAGATTCTCCAATACAACACAATGTCAACTAATCGAATCACACTTGTTGGAGAAGCTTTTGAAGATTTAAATACCCTTACATATCTGGACAGCATCATTGATGAACATGGTTGATCTGATGCAGGTGTGAAAGTGCGGATCGACAAGGCAAGATCAGCATATCAACAATTGAAGAACATCTGGAATTCAAAACAACTGTCCGTTAACCAACACCAAAGTCACAATTTTCAATACAAATGTCAAGAGAGTTCTACTGTATGGGGTGGAAACTTGGAGAATTACCAAAACCATCATCCAGAATATACAAGTGTTTATTACCAGTTGTCTACACAAAATACTTAGGATCCGTTGGTCAGACACTATCAGTAACAACCTAGTGTGTGAGAGGAGAAACTAGATTGCAGTGGAGAAAGAAATCAGAAAGAAGCACTGCAAGTGGATATAACGCACGTCGAGGAAAGCACCCAACTGCATCAAAAGGCAAACCGTCACTTGAATTCCTCAAGGCCAAAGGAGGAGAGGAAGACCAAAGAACACATTACGTCGAGAAATGGCGACAGATATGCGAAGAATGAACAACAATTGGATAGAACTTGAAAGGAATGCCGAGGACAGATTGTGTTGGAGAATGCTGGTCGTCGGCTTATGCTCCACTGGGATTAACAGGTATAAGTAAGTAAGTAAGAGATTTTATGATCGGTTTACTTGAGAACTCACCTTCGAAGAAACTTTATATAAACAAACGAATGGAGCAGCCATGGAATCTTCAGTGTCTCCGATTGTTGCTAATTCATTTATGTTCCATTTTGAGTCGCTTATTTTTCTCAGTGGCATCAGATCACGCATGTAGTTGAGATATGTAGGTGACACATTTGTCACCATTATAAATAGTCTCCATAGAAATTTCTCTAAATTGATAGACACCTCAGACCACATAAAGTTCACTTTTCGAAAGAAAAATAAATTTAATAAACTACCACTCTTAGACTTTAGTTAAAAGAGAGTCTAACAGAAATCTAAATTTAACTATCTGCTGAAAACTGACATCCAGATCGGTACATTAGTTTCAACTCTCCATATCCATTCAGTGCAAAAGAAATTTCCCTAACTCTGAGGCATTACCAAAGTCACTATCGTAAAAGAAGATAAATTAAGGGGGGAATTAGCTTAATAAGCATCTTACGATTTATAAATTTTCCTAAGAATATTTTGAACATGAAACTCTTTATCTCTGAATACCAGTGTGAATGAAATATCACGGATAGATACATAGAATTGTGTTGATAGATTAGGTTATTTCGACTGTTATACTTTATTGGAGAGTTTCTTCATGAAGTTTTGACTCGTGCTCATGTATACTTTTAAGCTGCACAAAAAGACCGGCGAGATGATAATTTATGGATGAACCAATCAGATTTTAGACAACAGGTTTCGGATTTTAGCGCGAAATTCATTCACTCATTTGGCGAAATACTATTTCAGCATTATAGATGATGTTGGTTCGTGATGAAAACTCTAAATCGAGTTCCTAACGCTAACCATCAACTATAAATCATATTTCGAATTCCTCACAATGTTTTATAACCTTCATTTAGTCTTAGTTAGTACGTTGAAGTTTTCAAGTTCATTGTAGCGTTGCTCAAAGGTCGTCCATAAATTATAGTCTTACCAAAAGACCTCCTAGCAATCCTATAGAAAGAACTAGAAGATTTATAAATCAAATAGGGAATAACAATTTATACCTATATTCAGTAACCATCAGATCGATATTAAAGATGTCAAAGTAATTCAAAGAGGTTTTTCCAACCATAAAAAAAACACAAATAAATGAGGCGCTTTTATACAGTGCCTTCTCCTTTTAACCGAAAAGATTTGACTATTCATCTAATTCAAATCGTCTCTTCAAACAATTTCATTCATCTCTGTTCTCCGTTCTCACACAATTAACACACATATATATATACATATACACGAATTTCAATTCTATTCGTAATTTATATTACAAATTTCACATTTTTCATAACCAACAACATATACAGATAAACACATTAATGTCTCACAAAGGTTTTCTGCTTTTGTTGTTCTATATCTTTGCATACTTTGTTTTGTTCATTGTATAGTAAATACCTAATATCAATTTTTGTTTTGTGTACACCTAACATTACCCTAAATCAATTCTCAGTTATTGTTAAATATGAATGAATTTTAAACACATAGTTACAAAAAAAAACGACAGATTGTAAAAACTCAGTTACCATTCATATTCTGAATAAACCAGTTCAAATCATAATATTTACGAAGTTCTGGTAGCTAGAGAGTGTACCAACGTCATGGAATGAGTCGATAGTTGTCCCTATCTTTAAAAAGGTTTCACGTCGTTTCTGTAACAACTATCGGGGGATAAGTCTACTTCCGACCGCGTCCAAGGTTATTGGCTCCCGTCATACTTTGTAGGTTGTTCAAAACTGCTCGCGAGGAGCAGGCTGGGTTTCGTTCTGGTTGAGGATGTATTGATCATATCTTCACCCTCCGCCAAATGTTAGAACACCGCCATACGTATCGAAGGCCAACAATCGTAGTGTTTCTTGACATCAGGGCTCCCTTCGATTCGTTGGACAGGACTGTTCTCTGGGATTTTCTATTGAAGAAGGGTGTGCCTGAGAAGTTTATTAGCATCCTAAAAGCCCTATATAAAAACACCTCAGGCAGAGTGAGGGCATACAACCACCTCTCTCCATTGTTCCATTCGAGTAGTGGGGTTAGGCAGGGTTGCCCAATCTCACCATTCCTCTTCAACTTTGCCATCGATGACATTCTGGAAACAGCTTTGATGGATGTAATCAATGGCGGCGTGGATCTGCTGCCTGGTGAAAGACTTCTCGACCTTGAGTATGCGGACGATATTGTTTTACTGTGCGATAATCCCCAAGGCATGCAATCCGCACTTAATCAGTTGGCAATCAGTGTCTGTAGGTATGGTATGGTATGTGCTTTGCACCTTCGAAGTGCAAAGTACTTCTACAAGACTGGCAGGATTCCAATCCTGTACTCACCCTGGATGGTGAGCGGATAGACGTAGTCGAGAAGTTCATGTATCTGGGTAGCTGCATATGTACTGGTGGGGGTGTGAGTGGTGAGATCAATTCACGTATAATGAAAACCAGAGCGGCTTATGCCAATCTGTTCCACCTTTGGCGCTTTCTTAATGTCAGTCTGGTTGTAAAAGGTCGGATCTACAACGCGTCGATGATAGCAGTTTTGCTCCATGCTTGTGAAACCTGGCCTCTCCGAGTTGAGGACGTTAAACGACTCTCTGTGTTCGATCATCGTTGTCTCCGAAGGATTGCTGACATTCAGTGGCAACACCATGTCAGTAATGCAGAGGTTCGGCATCGTGTGTTCGGGCACAGAGATGATAATGCAATCGGCATCACCATCTTGAAACACCAACTTCGGTGACTTGGACATATTCTACGAACGTCGTCGCAGAGAATTCCACGTCGTGCACTATTTGCCGACTCTGGGACTGGTTTGAAAAAGCGGAGAGGTGGTCAGTGTATGACATGGTGTCGTGGTACGAAAGAAAGTTGCAAAAAGCTGGCTTCTGTTGGTGCTTCACGACTCCCTGGTTGGGGTCCGAGAGATGGTGCTACACAGTGGCTAGAGACGTTATCAGATATGGCTCAGAATAGAAGCCAGTGGCGATTTGAGGTGTTCCAATATTGAACTGGGTAGAGAGTCCTAGAGCTAACTTTTTTTAAGGGATCATATATTTGTTAGTGTAAACTGAGCTTGAAAGTGATCATTTTACTATGAAATAGTGTATTGCAGTACAAGTTATCTGTAAACATGTAATGTGATATTTGTATCTTTTACCGTATAACCGAATCAATAACATAAACAAGCCAAATACATTTGTACGGGGTTTTTTCGACTATTCGAGATAAATGACAAATCATTCACCCGTACTTCACTTACTGCATAGTACCATATAAACTGTCTAAATTATGATGGTTGTATTATACTAACCCAATTGACTACTACCTTGTGAACAGTAGTCAGTAAAATATTCCGTATAAATAGATCAGTTGAACGGGTTATTTTACTTTACTCTTCAATTTAATCATTTCTTACTGTACTAATGCCAGCGACCTTTTTACTTTTTGACTTATCATCCACTAACCCATTAAATGATTTCATCTTTATGTAGAAAAATCGTGAAGTTTCTTTATTTCCTGCTAAAGAAGAACTTGCCCATTGGTGTGAATCTCAACTGTCTTCCATTCCTTTGTCTGGAGTTGATTTGCCTACTTTAGTGGATTTATTATGTGAACTACAAGCTACAGATGAAGTAAGTGTTCGTTACCCCATTCTCTCTACTTAATTATGTGTTAAGCTTCCCACCGAGATAATAACACATATATTAGTTATCTGTTTGGTTTAGTTAGAGATTGAACTTTAGATCCCCTGAATCACAAATTTAATCTTCATTCCACTTAATTTGATTTAAAGATTCGGTAGGCTTACTCAACTAGCCCGTATTATGGTTTGAGTGCAAATACACAAATTTATGCTTAATTAATGAATTGTATGAAACTATTGAGTTCTGAAAATTGTGAATTTAGGAAATATTATCATGAATGATGTGGTTCAAAGTCGGTTCATTACACTTTAAAATGTAAAATTATTCTTTCCCTCTATCAGTAAGAAGATGTCTAATCAAAAGTATCTACAAAACAGTAGGATATTTGACACTTCACAAAAGAGACTTTGTAAAAACTCAATCCAATTGAATATCCTTATCGGTTACTGATGCATATACATTTACCTTGGTATGGCCGAGAATGAGGAGAGTTAGCTCTCCCTCTCGAAATGCTCTCACATGGCCACACGTATACAACCACTGACATGGAATTCCTACTTACTACCTTCTCGTGACTGGGGTGTTGTTTACGAAATTGAGACGACGAAATGCGAATGTCCGGAACTTTAACCAGGTTGGTAGACACGGAGGATCCACCTAGGGGAGTTAGAAAATCCTCATTCCAAACCAATGGTGCACATGGGCTCCAGACTCCTAATGGAACAAATGGCATATGGACCGATCATTGGTCAGCGGCTACCATGGGACTGCATCTTCTGACATTGCTCCACTGCCTTGTTTTAACACTACTGAATCCTCTCAACGATTAAGACTAACTGTTTAAGTCACAGATGAAATCTAAAATGATTTAAATAATGACAGCCAGTATATCAAAACGAGAACTATAGACATAAAATATGAAATTTCTTACTAACAAGTGTATGTTTATTGAACACACAAAAAGTATGGATGAGTGTTAAGAACGTCAAGAGAATATGAAATCACTGTATTATGTGTTATGTCACATTTAATGAAGCTCAGAAATGATTCATAATAGTATATGCTACTGAATATTAGTAAGTAATATAATGTTATACACTTATGAAACCAAATGAGGGTGAAATGAAGGTAGAAAGGACGATGAAGGTTGATAAACTCTGATGGAGTTTTCTTCATTGAGCTGGATGGTTTGATCGTATATCTTTCATCGTTCTTCTGAACAATATCAGCACAAAATCCAAGTGAAATGAAGTGTTCGAATTCCTCCACATATGACTCACAGCTTGTCCTGTAGCTCTCGATCTTTATTGGTCAAATTATCCAACTCAGAGAACAAAACTCCATCAAAATCATCTGCCTGAGCTACAAATCTCCATTTCAATTAATAAACTCCACTCAAATTTCTGCTCAATATACAGGCACTCTTTCGATTATAACCCTATAGCTGCAGGTCCGGACTTCATCGCACATATTTTTGGTTTCGGTAACTAAGCAACGTTGAAGTATTGCTCAAACACAAACTTTCATGACACCCGTAATTATTTAAATCAGTTCAATGTAAACAACCATTATGAGCTGCGTCGTTGTCAAAGAGAACGAATTGATTGTCTAGTGCTCTCTTATTTCCAGTGAGTCCCCAGGAGTGGTGTAATTTCGTAAGGAAAATTACTTCCAAGTTATGTCAAGGATAAAAATCCGCATAACTTCATCTAAAAAACTAATCTCCAGTTTAGTAAAAAAATAAATACTAACTTTTGTTATATTCCTATGAGTTGGAATGTTTTTCTTTAGAAGGAAAATCTCTCTTTCATAGTATATGTGTAATATTCATCACAGATTGATCTTACTTGGGATATCATTGAAGATCAGAATTCTCTTCTGTAGTGGATACTTACGATCATCAGGTCTCGTGACTAACACATAGTTCTTAGAATCACTAGGTTGGTGTGCGACAGCACATATTTTTAACTTCAATCGACTTGAAATCTAACGTAACTATCATCTAATATCATTGATTACGAGTGTTTTATTCCAGACAAATCTGAACTCCATTAACCCCATGATTTGTCAATAAGATTTCAGGAACACATCTCGAAGTAAACTATTAGTTAGATGAATGAATATCTTAGAGATTAATTTGACTTCCAAGTGAATATTGGTTATGGATTTTATATTATTTTTTTTGTAGATACTAGAATTTATTGAAAATTCATTGGGACGATCAAAGCGTATATCACAATTCTCCAAGGATTTTTTACAAAAACGTTCATTTCTTCATCAATAACAAATGATAATTTGTTTACTACTCAGTAAGTGTGTATGTTTATAAAATAGAAAATTTACTAATCTTTATCTGTTTATGTTTATCACGGATTCAAAAAGCTCGTTTGGTTTTTGCCAAATTACGTCACCTATGACGAAGACGAGATATCTGTCTATCAATTAAAGGACGAGTATACTGCACGGCAGTTCGTTCCGTTCTACTTTACGGTCGCGAAATGTGGCTATTAAGAGTAGAAGGTACTCGTAAGCTACTAGTATTTGATCACAAATGTATTAGAAATATTGCTCACATCTGCTGGGATCACCGGGTAAGTATTAGTAAGGTTAGACACAGGGTATTAGGGAATGATGGTAAATCAGTTAATGAGGTTGTGAATCTTCATCGACTGAGATGGTTGGGCCACGTATTGTGTATGCCTGAACACCGATTACCACAACGCGCAACTAATGTTGGGAATGGTTGGAAGAAAGTTAGAGGCGGGCAAACCAAAACGTGGCAACAGTCATTGAAGTCACTAACTTCTAGTATGAGCCATGTTGGTAGATGCAGATTACTCTTTGTCTTCCCTTAAGCAGATCAAAATCGTTTCATATATTTATTCCTACCAACTAATTCTTTCTTCCTGTACTATATCTTTACATAAAATCTTTCATCATGTTGTGTTAAAGAGTGAGGTATGGCAACTTGGACCGATGCATATATATGCCTGGTTATATGTTGTAGCTGACTGATTTATATTTATTTGATGTACTCACAAATGACTATTGTATTTAGTTGACTCTATGATGAATCATTCATAGTAATATAAATCTAAATTACTACAAAATATAACAATCATATATATATATATATATATATATATATATATATATATATATTTATATGATAATGAACTTTTAACTCTCTACATTATGATTATATTAAAGTTAACATAATTCTAACTTTATTAAACTGTTGAAAATCAATTTATACATGAGTAAATTGTATGTAACACCACCGTGTTACCTTCCTGTCCTCTCTCCCTCTCCTAAATAAAAAGATTTTCATGTTTACTACTTGTTATATTGTATATTTGACTTGAGAGAAAAAAAAACCCACTCAGTTTTGATAAAATACCATTTTGTGTTGTTGTTGTTGTTTTATTACAAAAATATGGAACATAATTTTATTGTACTTATCATGCCGTTACTACTATTAATTTAAACAGAAGTATAGAACTATTTTTTTTTAAATAATAACAACCTGAAATGTCTCGATTAAATATTGTTTGATAGCACAATAGTAATCAATAACATATTTGTCCGGTCATTAATGTAGATTTAATTTTATCGACTAAGTGATTTGGCATCGCTTACATTGTGTTTTAATGTAGTAGTTGGCCGTTAGTCGATAGGACAACCTATATGACTTCGGTTTCGTTCTAATTGACATTCATCAATATGGTATGCCTAGAATGATAAAGAGACAGAGGCTCATTATGTGATATGTTCCTTCATCATTTAGCTTCACAGTCGTAGAATCACTTCGTTACTTATTTCTCACCACCCGTCGTGGAGGAACATAGGCCGGTCACCAGCATTCTCCATCCAACTTTATCCTGAGCAATCCTTTTGATGCCTCCTTCTAATTCTTGACACACTGTGTTCTTTGGTCTTTCGATTTCCCATTAGGATTTCAAATTAGCACCTACCTCGTGATGCAGTTCGATGACTTATACAATCTATGTCCTATCCACCTCCAGCATGTTTTCTTAATTTCCTCTTCAGATGGAAGCTGGTTGGATCTCTCTCATATTAGATTGTTGTTGATGGTATCTAGTCAACGGACATTGAGTATCTTGCATAAACAATTGTTTATAAATACTTGTACTTCATGATGGTTGCGGTAGTTCTCCAATAGAACTGTCTTGACGTTTGTATTGAAGATTCTAACTTTGGTGTTGACTGATAGTTATTTTGAGTTGCATATGTTCTCCAACTGCAGAAATGCTACCCTTACTTTGTCAATCCTTGCCTTTATATCTGCATCATATCCTCCTTGTTCATCGATGATGATGCTCAGATATGCGAGAGCTTCCACCTGTTCCACAGCTTCTCCATGAAGTGAGATTGAGTTGGTGTTCTCTATGTTGTACTTGAGGATATTGGTCTTTCACTATATATATATATATATATATATATATATATTGTAGCCTACTTCTGCAGAGGCTGCTGCTGCTACACTGACTATTTTCACTTAGATTTGTTTATGTGTAGGGGATAGGAGAGCTAGGTGATCAGCCAATTCCGAATCGTCTAGTTGCATATGATCTGTGTATTGTATTCCGTGCTTCTCATGAGATGTGGAGGTTTTCATGATCCAGTAGACCGCCACCAGGAGAAAGAGGGACGGTGAGAGTAAGCAACCTTGTCTGACACCGGTCGTCACTTGGAATGCATCTGTGAGCTGTCCTCCATACACGACTTTTCAGAGTAGTCCGTCATAATAATTGATGAGTCAATTAAAGTTTATCCACATGTGTTGATAATCTTCTCAGGTACTCCATAGTATTGAAGATGGTTCCACAAGGTTCTGTTATCAGCAGTGTTAGGTGCTTTCTCATAATCAAGGAAGTTGATGAATAGTGCCGAGTTCCATTCAAATGACTGTTGAACAGCGATCCGTATTGTGGTGATTTGGTCGGCACATGATCGATCCCTACGAAATCCAGTCTATTGTTCTGAAATTTGGATAACATTCATTGTCATCCCTGCTTTACACGGCATCAGAACAATTCCCTTAGCGACTCTTGAAATGATCTTGATAAAGTAAAACTGAATAATGTTTGGATCCACGGTTATGATTAGGCATATGATTTAATTGTATAGGATTAGTATTGTTCAAAGTTTATTTTAATATCGTAATTTTATCGTTACTATTTCAGATTACAGTTAAGTTCTTGTTCAACAATAAAGCTACAACATGCTCTGTAGGGTTGCACGTTCCAAAATTTTAAATACTAACTATGATCGAGTTACTTCCAAAAATATCGTATATCATAGCCCTCTATATTGTCTTATATCAATTTTAAGCTATTTGATGATAACTAAGTCTTGATAGCTTTTACTTGTTGGGCAGATCCAGAAAACTCCTCGAAAAAAAACCCAAGAAAGACTCTGTAAATACTGAGAAGCATTCGATCCAATCTACGTTCACTAGAATTTTTGCCAGAAACATCAAGAAAGTGAAAAGTCACATGTCAGGTTTCTGATTCGATGATTTTCGGGAAACCCATGGACATCTAAAACACTATAAAAACCTCAGATTTTCTGTACAAAAAAATGAACCTTTCGTATTCAAGTTGCTGTGTAGTTTTAGTCTGGAAGTTACTAGTGTTCAATTAACAAGACTTATCATTTAACTTTCAAAGAAATTTAACCTCTAACATTATTACATCCTAAAGTTCATACAATCATCTAGTAACTACTATTTTAACTATGATCAGTATAAACTATATTTTCATCAAATATTGTTATGTCTCATATCTCATACTTAATCTTTGATAGTACAATATCTGTTCATTTTCATTACTATTTCGTTTATCTCTGTTGTTTTTAATCAGTTAGTCACAACAAAATAAACAGTTATCAACATGCTTCATTATTAGTGTTTATTTGTTTGTTTTTGTCTTCCTTCATAGATTCATTCAATTTCATATACGGAAAGATAATTAATAACAATCTACAATTGTTAATACTGTTTGTTGTTTGTTTTTGTTTCTATTTATTTTTAAATTCTCATTATTCTATTAATCTATAAGTCATTCCCTCCTCTTACTTCTAATAACATTCTGTTTTCTTTTATTATTGTCTTTTCTTTTACTTGATGAAATTTAGAATAGAATCACTTCTTATTATCGTTCTCACTTCGTCGTCACCGCCGCCGTTGTCGTCGTCGTCACTCACTCACTTGTACTCACTCATATACTTACACATACACACATATGTGTGTGCATCATTCATTATTATTACTAATTTTATTTTTATTTATCTATTTCATAAAACTTTTATATATAGAAATTGGTTTCAACTTTTGTTTATCCAAATTTTTTTCCTTTTTTGGGGGGTGGGGGTGTAAAAAACACTCGAATTTTTTCTATTTATTTTTTATTAGAAAAAAAAATGCATTTCTTTTCACTTTCTTTGTCTATTTCATTCATAAACAGTAGTATGTAATATCTTCATGTTTATGCGTCCACCCCACCCCATTCTTTCCCTCCCTCCCTATCTGTCTGTCCTACTATTTCTATATCTATCCATTTTAATGGTTGTATTTCTTTTTCGCTCTTTTTACAACTCATAGTTACTCAATTTATATATATAAACATATGTGTACATAAGTTTTTTTTTCTATAAAAAAATAATAAGAATAATGACAACAATAATGATTCTTTTTTCTTTTAATATGTTTGTTCGTTTGTGAAATAATTGAACATAATTTTATTATTGAATGAAAAAGTTTCTGTTTTGTTACTATTGGGTTATATGCTGTGATTATTATTATTATTATCTTCAGTTTAGGGGTTATGGAAATTAATAGGTTTTTGATTGAGATCATGAACCGATTGATGTTAGACCACCACCACCGTCTATCAACCAAAGGACGTGTTTACTGCGCTGCAGTTCGTCCCGTCCTACTTTATGGAAGTGAAACATGGCCGATAAGAGTAGAGGATATTCGTAGGTTACTAGTATTCGATCATAGGTGTCTTCGAAACATTGCTCGTATATCATGGGACCATCGAGTAAATAACACAGTTGTTAGGAAACGGGTACTAGGTAAGGATGGCAAATCAATTGATGAAGTAGTGAAACTTCATCAGTTGAGATGGCTGGGACACGTGTTACGTATGCCGAACGACCGACTGCCTCGACGTGCTATGTTCAGTGGTATAGGAGTAGGTTGGAAGAAAGCTAGGGGTGGCCAGACCAAAACATAGCACAAGTTCATGAAGTCACTGACAAGTGGTCTAAGTCATGTTGGTAGGTGTAGACTACCTGGTTGGGGACCGCGAGATGATAGCAACCGATGGTTAGAGACCTTGAATGACATGGCTCAAAATCGTTTGCAATGGCGCAGGTGCATCCACTCTTTGTGTTCTCCCAAATTCTAATCTTCTGAATTCTTCATGTCCCCTTTTTTCCTCTTATTGCACTGAATTATACTCTTTAAATAACATCTTCAAACCCTAATCTTCCTGATCACTGCTTACACTCTTGCTACCTCTACCACTACGGGATTTGGATCGACAACTGCATCTGTGTTAAGGTGGTGTGGCAACTCGAACTGATGTACGTACGTACGAAGTTCTACGTTGTTACTGACTGACTGACTGGAGACCACCATGAAAAACCTGAAAGCACTGGACGACTGTTTTGTCCTATTGTGAGACTCCTTAGCAGTGTGCATCCACGATCCTGCTCGCGGGATGTGCAAATTGATATTGAGATCTGTTTTCGTTTATTCTACTCTATCAAAAAGTATTAAGTAGTGTAATTGGTACTCATTGAAAGTAAATTATAAAATTTAAAATATCTATATTAACTCATATATAATATTATTTAATTACTTACTTACGCCTGTTAATCCCAGTGGAGCATAGGCCGACGACCAGCATTCTCCAGCACATTCTGTCCTCAGCATTCCTTTCAAGTTCTATCCAATTGTTGTTCATTCTTCGCATATCTGTCGCCATTTCTCGACGTAATGTGTTCTTTGGTCTTCCTCTCCTCCTTTGGCCTTGAGGAATTCAAGTGACGGTTTGCCTTTTGATGCAGTTGGGTGCTTTCTTCAACGTGCGTTCTATCCACTTGCAGTGCTTCTTTGTGATTTCTTTCTCCACTGGAATCTAGTTTCTCCTCTCACACACTAGGTTGTTACTGATAGTGTCTGACCAACGGATCCTAAGTATTTTGTGTAGACAACTGGTAATAAACACCTGTATCGTCTGGATGATGGCTTTGGTAGTTCTTTAAGTTTTCGCTCCATACAGTAGAACTCTCTTGACATTTGTATTGAAAATTGTGACTTTGGTGTTGGTTAACGGACAGTTGTTTTTAATTCCAGATGTTCTTTAATTGTAGATATGCTGATCTTGCCTTGTCGATCCGCACCTTCACATCTGCGTCAGATCCACCATGTTCATCAATGATGCTGTCCAGATATGTAAGGGTATTTAAATCTTCAAAAGCTTCTCCAACAAGTGTGATTCGATTAGTTGACGTTGTGTTGTATTGGAGAATCTTGCTTTTCTCTTTGTGTATGTTGAGACCTACTTCTGTTGAGGCTACTGCTACACTGGTCGTGTTCTGCATTTGTTGTTGTGTGTGTGATAGAAGAGCCAGATCATGTGCGAAGTCTAGATCGTCCAGTTGCATCCTAGCTATTTATTGTTTTTCTTCCATTGCCTAACATTAGTAAACCTTTTCTGGTTTATTAAACTACAAACTGATTATCATTGTCATAGCAAATGATGTTACCTGAATTGATAAGACGTTATTTCCACCACAGACTACCCAGATGTCGATGTGCTCGCTTCTGTTTTTACTTTCATTAGATTGTGTGTGACTTTGTTTAGTACGTCGCACATAACATCTCGATCAAAAAGGTTATTAAGTGAAATCTTGTGTGCAATTCTTTGTATATCAGTATAGGTTTGAAGAGATTACTGAATTTAACTGGGTCACGAACCTATCTGGAATCACTGGACGGTCGTTTTGAATCAGTATGGGACTCTTTAAAAGTGCTCATCCATGATCCTTCAGCTGGAAATTGAATTCAGGATCTACAGTGGCTGGCTTGTGAAATTCGAAAAGATGATAAAATAAAGTATTGAATACGTATATTTTAAACATACGGATCAGGTTTAATTTGATGAATGGCTCAAGCCTCGGTCATGCACAAACTTGTGATCCCAACTTTCTTAGATCTCATTCCTTAAAATGTATAGGTGGCCCTGAAAGATGAATTCGGTAGCTATATGTGATCAGAGCTGACTGTGTGTCTAAGGATTGACCTGTCAATTGATTTATAGTCATTTATGTTAGAGTGGATCACCCATTCATTCATAAACGTTTTAGTGAAATGTGATTTGCGGTGAATTCCAGGACTTAGTTTTGTCCTACTGGATGTACTTGTATTTCAGTGTCAAGATCTAAATTTACCGAAGTATATGCTAATTGTTACTAAAGCCAAGAAAAACAGTTTCCGAATTATAACATAGAACACTGTTCCTCAGTTTGAAGAATCAATAAAACACTAAATAATCCTTCATATAAAAAAATATGTGTAGAGATTTGCTATTCATTAAAAAAAAAATGTATAATGATGTCTTTATTCATTGTTGAACACATGGTAACATGAGGCCAAAACCATGGTGATCTGATAATTATTGTTACAATGTTTAACAGTACGAAAAATTATTCTCATCAAATAGTGTATACCTATTGTTCAGCATTATTATCATACGCATAATAGATATTCCATATTAAAGATTGAATTGGTTTTGATGTAAAAAATCAATTGTTATTATCATTTATTTTGTGATTATTGATAGAATTGTTTCCAAGAATACCATTCAACTGAATGACACTTAGTATGTTCACTTTCACATTTGTGCTTCATATTTAATGTGGTCATGATTGTTATAGTGGAGTTATATCATCACTAGTGAATACGATCATCAGTGTAACTATTCTGAATTATCACAGGTTGGCTTTGATTAGATATTCATTGAAAACTAGTACTGTTCCGGAATGTATACCAATGCACATCTGTGAACCAATAGATGAAACCTAGAACTTTCAAACTTCCGTATGAGCACTTAACCTACAAAACACTGATTTGATATTGAATTGTTTATTTTTGTGGCGTCAGTCGATACACAATATTACATAGTCATCATTCGTTACGATTGGTGATATCCGTTTCATTGTTTATATTTCTAGTTTCCATTACTAATGTACTTAAGTTACTGTATGGTGTTTTTGGTGAGACTAGAATTTATTAATGGCCTTGAGGATGCCCACCTTCATACTAGGGTTGAATCAGGGTTATATATGAGTATGATGAATTAGGATTAAGTTGGCCGTTAGGACTAGCAATAAGATTGATTACTTTCATTACGAACTGATATCAGCTATAATGCAAAAGTGCTATTTGGTTAAATGGATGAATGAATTTCGCGCCCAATTCTAAAACCATCTATCATAAATCGGATTGGTTAGTCCATATATTATCTCCTTGAAATAGTTTAGACCAAATTGATGCACAAAACGTTGGATTTACTGAAAATTCAGTCTCTGAAATTTTTTTAATATCTATTCATCCTCCTCACCGTCTTACATTAATTCAACACCCAATTACCGTGTAACTATTCATTTCAATTTCAACGAAAGTTCTTGGAAAAATTTAGAAGGATTATTTTAAAGCATAATTATATACTTAAATGATAAGATAATGTTGTTCTCAAGTTTTGACACATTTCCGATCGTACATTTTACAGTCTCATAACAGTAATTTATTGATACCTGGCTTCATGTGCCTTAAACATAAACATTAACCATTATATATCATTAAATTTCTAATGAAAAAATTACTATCAATTCCAGTAAGGTTTTAAATATTGTCCTTTGGAATAGCTCCTCCTTCAACGATCACTATTACAGCCATTATTTGTAATGATCAACGTGATCAATTAATGTTTGTAAAAGCATGAATAAAATCGTTTCAGCGAATATATATAGTAGGATCACAAAACATGCTATTCTATATATACAGATTATCTAACTAGGAAAGGTTTGTTAATGTTAACCAATAGAAAAAAACAATGAATAGCTAGGATGCAACTGGACAATCCAGACTTCACACATGATCTGGCTCTTCTATCACACACACACAACAAATGCAGGAGAACACGACCAGTGTAGCAGTAACCTCAACAGAAGTAGGTCTCAACATACATAAAGGGAAAGGCAAGATTATCCGAACCAATCGAATCACATTTGATTAAGAGGCTTCGTAAGATGTAAAAACCTTTACATATCTGGACAGCATCATTGATGAACATGGTGGATCTGATGCAGATATGAAAGTGCGGATCGGCAAGACACGGGCAGCATATCAACAATTGAAGAACATCTGGGATTCAAAACAACTGTCTGTTATCTAACACCAAAGTCACAATTTTCAATAGAAATATCAAGAGAGTTCTACTGTATGGGGTGGAAACTTGGAGAATTTCCAAAACCATCATCCAGAATATACAAGTGTTTATTAACAGTTGTCCATACAAAATACTTCGGATCCATTGACCAGACACTATCAACAAACAACCTACTGTTGTGGGAGAAAACAAACCAGATTCGAGTGTAGGAATAAATGAGGAAGAAGTGCTGGAAGTGAATAGGACACACATTGAGGTCAGTAAACCAACTGCGTCACAAGGCAAGCC